GTTGGGCGAACAGCGTGTTCAAAATGGGGAGGTAACGACCACACAGAATTGACAAATCTTTCATGAGAAGTTGCAATGATCGGTAGACCAAGACGAGATTTTCTGGGGATGCCCCAAGTGCCGGGGAACATTTGAATTTCCCGGTATAGCGCGGGCCCCTAGTTAGCGCTAACTCCTCCCGTAAGACGGGGAGGATGAATAGGATAAAGGCGGTAAAAGTTTGAACCATTAATTTAATGAAGAATGTCACAAAGAAGAATTCGTACAGGATGGCCGGTGTATAAATTAAGTGGGCAATATAAAACAGTATCCGGTAATTGGAAAACAAATTGGGCAAATGAATAGGGTGATGGGGAACAAGGAAAATTTGACTCCACATCGCGATCGGGAGAAAAGTTAGCATGAAGTTTGTGGGACGAATTATTTTAAACAGGTTGCGATTCAGAGCGGATATCGCAGTGGATACGGGATAATTCCAGAATTGTTCTGAAAAACAAATTTGTAAAGTCTGTAAATATATTTACGCAGTCAAGTCATTGGTAACGCGTAAAATCCGTAAATTGTGTAAAGTATTTTTACAAAATAAGTAAAAAGGCGCTCACGATCTGAGTAAGACGAGCGCATTTTTCTAAAAGTTTAAGTGAAAGTGACATAATTTTTGAGTTTTACAAAGTTACAAAGACATTCACGAATTTCCTAATTGTGAAATTTGAATTTAGTAATATTCATAAGTTGAGTTCAAATTTGAAAACACATTTTGTAATTGCTGCATATGTACATATGTCGGAAATGAAGGGCAAAAAAATTTCCACTTTACAAAATTTATGCGTAACAAAGCGATTTATGCAATGTATGTATTTACCATTAAACTTCGTGACGTATAAAAACATTGAATTCCAATTTCGACCAATTCCTTCCGCCTGTGTCGAAAATACGTACGTCCCCACCGACATTCCCACCAAGGCGTAAGAATCTACCAACAATAAATTGAAGTATGGAGAATTTGGTGTAAATTTATACCGTGTGGTTTCCACGATTAAAGCAAAAGTGTGAAAGTAAATTAGTTTCTGGACAAGTTTCGTTCTTGAATAGTATTTCCTGGAGAATTGTAACTTTTTCAATTTCTTATTCCAAATTAACGGGAAACCAAATATGTTTGCGGTATTGATCGTTTTTGAAAATTCCTGGGAAAATAGATCGCTAAACATTTTAACTAAATGTGTATTTGCAGTAAAGTGGACCTTCCTCAAACAAGAAGTAGAAATATCTAGATTTTTATGTAGCATGTTTGTAAAGGAATCAAGTATTCATGAAATATCGACATTCAGCCGATATATTGCCAAGATACATATTTAATAATTTCTTATTAACTTCGCAGTCAAATACATAAAGCCCTTTTTAATATTAAACCTGAATATTTCATTTCGACGGGCTTGCACAAAAATTGATAAAGCATACATACATATATACATATGCACGCACGCCTAGCGCTACGTATTTGCACATATGTGGATAGCATACAGTAAGCAAAAATTTAAATCGTACCCTTTTCTGCAACGTCATAAATCCATGGTTTTCTACTTGATGGAAATCAATTGTTATTATGTAATACATCAGTCTTATAGCAAATTTAACGTAGATTCCGAAAATGACACGCGTTTTTAGTTTTTCCTTACCGATTATGATCCACTAATTAGAAAGTTGGGGAAGATTTAAAATCCATGCAAAAAATTAAATCGTACCCTTGCGGGTTTTTAATCAAAATTATGTCTAATAACTAGTTAACACTTTGAAGCGCCTCGGTTTACTTGAATTACAGCTTTGATATGCCGCGGGATGAATTCTACTAATTTTCTGTCACCTCCGGTCAGTCGTTTACCCACACTTCGCTTAAAATAACATTCAGGTCATGATTGGACTTCGGTTTTCGGTTCGAAATCCTCCTCGCCTTTTTTTTTTTTTGTTAAAAAAATCCAAAAATTATTGCGAATACTTTATTCAATCTTTTTTTTTTTAACATAACGCACGAATTTAATTCCAATTAATTAAGTTAAGTCATCAATTACATATCATTTATTATAAAAATATTGAGGCGACGTCTTCTCGACAAGGCTTTGCAAATTTGGCCGTCATGGGTAGGAACTAAGCCAGTGCTTGTCTCCCGTATCTTCTTGCCTCTTAAAATGTTACAATTTTGGTAATTTTGGACAATTTCATAATTCATAAAATAGTAGCATTAATCAATATAATTATAAAGTTTTCTTATCATAGGAAGACTAATTTACGACTAGATTTCAGTTAGTCATGCAGAAAAGGAAAATTAATTGCATCAAAAACCTAAACTAATGTTTATTTTATTTCTAGAAATTTTATAAATATCAAATTTGTCCCAGTTCTTGTGAAATTTCGGAAAGAGGCTCGAATTTATATGGCATGCATAAAAATCGGTCAAAATCCGACCATAAAGAAGTTGACGGAACGAGGAAATGAGATCAAATTTACCTGAGTAATTATTTAAATTGTGGACAAACGCTTTATAAATAATATTATAAGCGTAAAAGATTATAATATTGCCCCCCGCATGCGAAACCCCATGAAGGAAGGCGTCGTCGAAGGCTCGCGTGTCAATGTTTACTTTTGTAAGGAATTTGGCTACTATTTTTCGCAAATCTAACGTATATGGACTTTTAAGTAATGTTCCACTTTTGGGTATCCACCTCCTCCTCGCCGATTATGCCCATAAATTTTCGCTTGGGTTGATGCCAGTAGATCAGGCAACCCACGAAAGAGCATTAAGTTCCTTTCACACGAGGTACCGATCAATAAACTTCGCATATTTTTGGGCTCCGCCTTGAAGTGCAAAATTATTTTCGTCATGAGTCTCAATTGCCACGCTCAGCAGACTTAGTTTCCCTCCAGAATTGTCTGCTGGACTTCCTTGTTGATGATTGACTCAGTGAAGGTAAAGTTCCAACACAATTCCAAAATTTTAGGGCCCAAACCATCACAATTCCTTCACTATGTTACACGGTATTTTTCATGCATTTGGGTTTAAAGGCTTCTCCAGGTTTTCTCAACATCTTCACGACTGCATTTGACCTAAATATGCTGAATATGATTGTGTCATCCTGATTGACACGTTTTCAGTCATTCAGAATACTAACGCTGAGGTGCAGGGTGCATGTAGGACGCTGCGCCATATTTAACTCATAAATGAATGGCTTCTTGCTCCTACTTCAACCCTTAAAGCCCCTTTCTCGGATCCGGCTTCTGATTTTTTTAGTGGAAACGGTTCTTTTGAATTGTTCTTGAGCTTCAGATGCAATTTTCGGGGCCAAAAGTCCTGAGTTCGTCAAAATCTTGCGGATTATATTTAGATGGTCGCCCTTGTTTATTACCGTTTTGTGTACGCGTCAATGAAAATTGCTCAAGAATCGTGTTTTCTTCCATGCCAAGGCAATAAATTGGATAGTAGGCTCCTAAAACTTCGTTCCCAATGAAATTTTGTAGTAGCATATTTTTTTCCTATGAAGAAAAATAACAATCTTCCTTCCCATAGCATACGGCTATTTTCTGCTCATTTTGCGGGATGTCTAGCAGCATCAAAATTAAAAAATGTGAAACCTTTTACATAAAAATATTAAAAACTGTATATCGATCGAATTTCAGTTAACAATTATTGTTTTTGAGTGTGTGGAAGAAGGAGATGATCAAAAAACCGAAAGGGTACGATTTATTTTTTTCCATGAATTTTCAATTCCCCTCTACTTTTTCATTAATCGTTCATTATCGGTAAGGAAAACCAAAAAATGCATATGATATTCGGAATCTACATTAAATTTCATACCATATGGATGTATTGCATAGTAAGAATTGATTTCCATCAAGCAGAGAACCATTAATTTATGATATCCCAGAAAAGGGTACGATTTAAATTTTTAGCCCGAACCAGGGCTTATGTAATTGTCATGTCCGTCTGTCTGTCTGTCTGTCTGTCTGTCCGTCTGTCTTTCGATAACTCTCGAACGAGTTGACCGATTGACTTGAAATTTTTACCATATGCATATTGGACAAAGTTAGGAAACGAGTTTGAAGATGGGCGACATCGGTCCAGTGGTTGACCGGTGGGGGTCTTCGGAGTGGGTGGGGTATTATACACCAAAATTTCAAAATCGTCATAGAAAGCTCAAATTTGGTACAGAGGTTGCTAATGGCTCCTAATGAAAGAATATGAAGTGAAATAGGAAAATTTGTCCACCCGAGGTACCCGAGGGGTGACCCATACCGATTTTTCAAAATCATCCAATCGAGCTGAAATTTGGTATAAAGGCTGCTAATGGCCCCTAATGGAAGAATATGAAGTGAAATTGGTAAAATTTTCATCTAGAGGGACCCTATGGGGTGACCCCCACCGATTTTCAGAAATTAACATAGAAAGCTGAAATTTGGACCAGAGTTCCATACTGCTTTTTCACGAAATAACATGAAGTTAAATATGAACAAAAATTAACCAGGGGGGCTATAGAGACGACCTCCACTAGGAAGTAGTCAAGGGAAGGGATAGTAAATATTTTTAGAATTTGGAGCCTAGTAATACGAAGGATTGATGAAAGAATTAGTGCAAAATAGTAGCACATAATTTCATAGAAAACTACTGACAAACATGGGTTTACTAATCATTCCTGGTTCGGGCTAAGCAAAGCTGAACTGATAGGTTTTTCTTACTGTACATACATACATACATGTACATATAATTGCATACATACATACGTAAGGAATGTAATTTAGCAAAATTCGAAAATAACTCTGCTCGCCTATTTAAATAAAATGCCCAATTGTTCAGACAAATATTTTTTGACAATTTCTTACGAATAATTCGGCAACAATGGTCATATATATATTTAGTGTCGAAATATATACGGTTTATTTATGTACGTATCATAATAAATATATATGTACATACATATATATTTTCGTTACTTAAAACAAAAACGGAATAAAGTATACATTTAAATATGTAGATATGTATATATTGATAGATATATATATGTATAGTAAGGTAACTTATGACAAAAATGTGTAGTTTATATGAATAAATTTTCTATGGAACGTGAAACGAAACATGTACAACGGTCTATACACAAATGCATACATATATTACATAATTGTATCCGTAATATTTATTAACTCACAACGGAGGTCTCCAAACGTATGTATGCTCGCAGATTTTGACCAAACTGGTGTCCATCGATCATAAATTGAATTATAAAATTTGCAAGTGGCATTATCTCCCAATGCGCAAGTTTAGCAGAGATATTTGCATCCGAAGAGGATAAAAGGTACATTGGAAAGTTGGAAAGTGTCAAATCTGTCTACCTTGGGGCATGTTTTACCATATTTTTATGCAAATTTCTCCTCCAAACCTGAGCACTGTGAGATAGTTCCATTTGAAAATTGTATACTAATTGAATTTGTGATCGATTCATAATTACCAGGTTGGCCTAAATCTGTGAGTAACCAGGATTGCCAATAACTCCACAAAACTCGGCTACATCTAATTATTGAAATCGCAGACATAAACATATCCCTCCATCTTAAATCCCACCATCATACGGTACGGTTCGTACCACTCTAAATCTCGACACGGGCATTTCGTTTGACGCCATGAAATCCAATATATTTCTCTGAGATTCATCGCCAAACTGAAAATTAAATCAGCAAATAAAAATAAATATGAATCCTTATTAGAAATCAAGTTATGTATGTAAGTCTAGGCAATTATATAACTATTTACAACTTACTTTAAGATCATGAATAATGACCGAATCCATTCTTTTCATCGCGACGAGCAGCCCCTTAAATAGATCCATCTCACCGTCTGTCAAATCGTGTCTGGTACGATTCCTTCTGTGCGTCCTGATTTTTAAAATATTCAGCTCTGCATGAAGTTTAAGTGCATGTAGGAATAAAAGAAATTAGCATTTTAGTTAAAATACGTATGCAAATTTAGCAAACATTCTGCAAACTTCAATTAAGCTTTGTTTCACAATGTATGGATGAGAGTGCAATTTCAGGCGCCAAAGAAACCGCCCCCTTTCGTCTTAACGGTCCCATGTGAAATTGCACACAACAGTTATGTAAACATGTTGTTTACATAATTGGGAATTATTCAAAATTACATTATGCAATAAGGGTATTATGCAAAAAAAATGCAATTTCACCGCAGACGGTCTTAACAATGGGAAATTCAGTTTGAACACGCGATCACCCACTGAGAAAGAACGCTTAACCAGGAAAATGTACACTTTTCGACACTTCCAACCCGTTAATTTGAAAAGCTAGCCCTCACCTTTGTACAATTCAGCGCCATCCAACAGAGCCTTAATGGCATCCCAGGTTCGTTCTGGATACGTCGGGACCCAAAGATACAAACGGTCCAGCCTGCCCAAACCTGCACACGCCTTGAGAGCCACGCCCAACTCCAGCCCACCCTCCTTCTTCTTATGCATGCTGTGCACCATCAAGATCTTCAAGTTAGGAAACGCCATCTTCAATCCACCCAGAAGTCTGGGATCGTACAACTCTTTAATCCACAAATTCGTAACTTTTGCGAAAATCCGTTTCAGGCAGATTTTTCAAAATTGTATCCACGCTTGTCTTCGTTTTAGACACCTTTCCAATCGTAAGCGATTCTAGGACGGGCATTCTTTCGATATCTTCCCAGAAATCGGCATGCTGAATAAAGTCGATAATGACGTTCTGGAAGGTTCGCAGTTTCGACATCTTTCCCGGCAAACGGATTCCGCGTTGGGTCGAGTTATCGAGATTGTACTTCTCTTTCATGCTGTCCATTTGATGGAAGCGGCAATAGGCAAAAGCCAAGTGGACGAGTTGGTCACCGACTTGACCCAGCATGCGTGTAACTTCGGACGGTTTAAGGTCTCTCAGAGCGACGTCTAGTGGCCGAACGTCGTCCAGATGGAGGGTTAAGGAGTCCAAGGATTTTGAAGTTTCCAAATCTGGATAGACTCCCCATGAAATCTCGAGCTTTCTCAAGTTTGGTGAGGCGTTGACGACCAGCTGAGCAAACCTGGTCAGAGTAGGCGACGCCGCCACGACTTCAGAATTGAGCTCGAACACGGTCAAATTTGGCTTTTGTGGGAGCTCCTGAATTTCTTCACTGGGAACATATTCTTCTTCGTTGAACACACAGGTGATCAGTAATTGTTTCAAATTGGGACAGGAATTTTTTAAAACTTGGAAAATGGATGGTAGACAGTCTTCATCATGAATACCCAAATCCAAAAGCTGGACTCGATCGCTAAATTTGTCACATACGTGCATCAACTTGGCGGCGAAGGAATACGTGCCCTCGGTGCGATGTAAGGTGTTGGCACTGATCCGTTTCGCAAGTCGGTCGTCCAACTTGTAACAGAGTTCGAAAAATAGAAAGGGGTCGTTTTCATGATCCTTATTGCTGTCCAGGTTTAACTCGAGTCTCGTGTTTGGAAGGGAGAGGACCATTTCATTTCAGAAGTGGGAAACTAGTCGACAATTTTTCAACGGTGAGGAACTTTGTTTTAATATTTCTGTGAGAATCTGGAAGTGGGAAAAGGTAATTTTTGAACGTGATATTTTCAAGTTGAAAATTTCAACGATTTTAAGATTTTTCTTTAGCTTACGATCGGATTATTTAGTGCGACTGCTTCCACACTTCTTTCTCCTGGAGATTCCATAATTCTATTATACACGAGAAGAAAAATCGTTGTCGAATTTGGGGGTTTTCCTGTCTTAAATAAAATATCAATTGAAATAAATATTTTTTTTAATTGCATTATTTTCAAATCATGAGAAATTTGGGATAATTTGAATAACAAATTTTTTCAAATGACTTACAAGTTGATGAAGGTGAGGAGTAGTGCGGTTTGAGGAATGAATTGACCTTAATTTAAGTTAATTAAATTAATTTATTGGAGAGGAATGCTGAATGTAGGAAATGCTTTCACGTTTTTGTTTATAAACATAAATAACACATGACGGATTCACAATTCAACCGGTTAGTGAATCTCGGGGCAATGTGGATATGTACATATGTATGACATAATATGGAAATTTTCCATGTTCCAACATTATTAAATATTATGGTCAGCATGCAAATTAGAAAATTCAAACGATCATTAGCTAACTCGAACAATCTGTTGGTTGTGTACATAAAATAATTTTACAAACCTTTGTAAAATAAGAATGTATGGTTATTTTGCTCTGAGTAAGTTTACAAAAATTATGAAGCTAATGTTTTTAGGAAATATTAGTAAAATTTTGTAAAAGCTTGTAAGTTTGTAGAATCTGAGAAACACCCAGTCTCAAATGCTCAGCACAAGCAAAGTTCTTGTGAGACTGACAGTAGCGTAGCAGAGGTCGACGCCGACAAATTTTCGGCGGCGGCGGCGCCAGTTTTTGGTGATTTTTCGGCGGCGTCGGCGGCGCGGCGCGGCGTCGCAATGTTAAAGGAATAGGAAATCAAATTTTTCGGCGGCGGCGGCGCGTAAAATGCATCGGCGTATGGCGGCGCGGCGGCGTGAGGTCGGCGGCGTCGACCTCTGTAGCGTAGCTTCTCAATTTCTGTAAAAGTTCAGTCTTGCGTGGATGGAGAGTACATGCAGAAACTTTACTTTAAAAGATGAGATTACAAATAAAATTTTATTTAGCAGTGAAGTCTTTCTACTTATTCCTTTGGGATAGTGACGAAGACAAAAATAAAAGTAATAATGCCATCAGAAATAAAATATTTACTATAAATGGTCTCTCCAGATAAAAATTTTATCAATTCCAGGTCATATCCTTCCATTAGGAGCCACTAACAATCTGTATACCAAATTTCAGCTTTCTAAGACAATTATGAAATTAGGTGCATAGCACCCCACCCACTTATCCTTAGATGACCTCAACGGGTCAACGATTTCACCGATTTCGCCCACCATCGAACTTATTTCCTAACTTTGTCCAATATGCATCTGGTATAAAATGGCAAGTCAAAGGTGTTCACGGACGGACATGACGATTCCATAAGCCCTGACTCGGGCTAAGACCATAAATACTCCATAGCGCGGGTGTAATTATATAGTTACTATATAGCAAGCACTCTGAAATTTTCGTTATAAGGAAAAGTCGCTGGTGTCTCAAAGACCTAATTCTATCGACCCAATTCTTGTTTCCCCTTATAGTACAGTGGGGGCGATCTGTAAATACCAAGGTAGTCTCCTTCATACTTAAACTGGGAAACGCAAACATTCACCACCATCAAAACTTTTTTCTGGGAGGTCATATCGAAAAATCCCTAAAGATAGCACTAGATTAGGTCCGTAATTGATTTTTCGGTCTCTTCATTTTTTCTCTAAAACGCACCCCCTTGGCTGTAGGGCCCGGTCAAAAGTTTTCGAAGGGGGGGGGGGCGGGGGGTGAATGCATACTAAGGTGTAACTGTAACCATAGTTTTTTTTACCTCACCTTAGAACAAATATGTTAGAAAATTCAAGTTTAAAAACATTTTTATGTGCATATTTTCAGGGTTTTGGAGCACATATTTTGCGGAATTTACGTGCATACATATCCGCCCTATGATAATTATACAGAAAATGCATTATGGAATGAGATTATAAAAATCGCTACAAATTTAAAATTTCGTCCGATTTTGCTTTGGACCAGCGATAAGGATAAAAAAATCAAAATAATACCATCAGAACTTCTACTTTTATATGTGCGTACGTAATTCTTAACAAACATGTAAATCATTTATTGTCCAATTATACATACAGTTCGCTATAAATTGTTATCATCAATTCAAAGTATCAGAATTTTACATATTTATTAAGATATGTAAATAAATTTTGAAGATTATAAATTTATGAGTAATTTTTTTCTTACGGGATTTTAATTTCTGCAAGAATTGAGCTAAAATTCTCAAAATTGCTACTGTTTTACGGCTTCACCCACAAGAAAAACATTTAAATGGTGATCGCTTCTCCATTACACGCATCTCCCCAGCTTCAATTGCATCTTGACCCTCAGCCGCCTCCGGGTCAGCTATAAACAATGCAATTTTTAGCTAAAACGTCATTAAATCATTAACAGAGGAGATCTCCCAGGAGTTGCTGTCAGATTTTTAGGGTCAATCAATCCCTAATTTATTTAATGTAAAATTGGTAAAGGACAAGATCTCTCAATTGTCACGTTTGGCGGAGATAATTGCATCCGAAGAGGAGAAAAAGTGCCTTAAATTTGACAAATTTTACACTTTCCAATTGGAAAGTTCGTGTCAAAAATTGTGTCAAAAATGTCATAAAATTTGTAAAATTTGTCGTAAATTTAAATTTACGGAGCGTTTCTCCTCTTTGGATACAAATATCTCTGCCAAACGTGACCATTAGGAGATCGTGTCTTTTACAAAATTCATATTAATTAAATTTGCGATCAACTACCACTAATTTGGTCAAAATTAGAGAGCCACCGCTGGGATACCTCCGTTATAATAAGGGTTCCAACCTACCTAGATCCATTATCGCGAGGGGATGAGCACTTGTCTCAGTCACCGCACCCAACACGACCAGTACGGCCAACACGATTAAAATTTTTCCGGTCATATCTACCCAAAAAAATAACAATTTAATATTACGCACAGGTTCACAAATATTTAAATTTATAAATGAAAACGTACTTTTTTTCTTAAAAATTGACGTAATAATCTTAGATATGAGGAGGCTTCTTTAGTTTCTTGAGTGAATTTTATCAATACTTTCTCAACCGTATTTATACCTGTCTCCGAGGACAAATTAATTAATCTATGTAATAACTGATTGCGTCAAACCTACATATTTGCACGTAATATGGAAATTTTCCATGATGCACCATAGCTCATAAAATCTAATAAAGTACGAAAATTGTTAGATAAATTAGTAGTATATTTTCTATTTCTTACAATGGTACAAGCTATTAATACATACATACGTGTGCATATTGTATATACGGGAGTATGATGCAAGAGTATATGTATGTATATTAAACAGTGAGACCATTATATTCCGGATATAATAGAATATGTACCTCCTCATGAACTTGGAATTGTTGTGGAACACAATGCATTTCGAAAATTATGGAACATCCGGCAACGTGAAAATTTATTACGTAACTTACAACTGACGTCATTGGGTGCAAGTTATGTTCTTTTACAGAAAACACTTAAAAATGAGGTTACTATTTTCAAAAGTGAATAAATACCCTCTGAATTCTGTAAAGTATGCTAAATCCAGAGTAAATTTTACTATTTACTCATCAAGTTCCTCTTACTCTGGGGTAAGAATAGTTTACTTAAAGAATTTAGAAATCAGCGTGCATTTGCTTTTCAGAAGGGTTACATTATTTTTAAAAGTGCAGGTTGCATAATTTGTTATGTATTTATTTAAATGAGACAGCATAAAGAGACTTAATTTGGGAGGAATTGTTTCTGATAATTCTTGCTAAATATTTTTAAATTGGCCTTTTAGGAAAAAATAGCTGTATCACGCATAATTCTTTAATAGAAAATGATTCTGCTGAGTTTTCGTGTGGTAAAACTCTTCGGACAGATTTTTTTGCTCTGCTGACCATAATGGGCTTATTTATTTAAGCATGTATGTTTATCAGGCTGAAACTAAATATGCACACAAATTGATAGGTTATTCAATTTGTTCAACTAATTGGTTGTGCTTACATAATTACTATGTAGTCGGCTGTTAGGGGCTGTGTATAAATTACGTAATGCAAAAATCGCGATTTTCTTGACCCCCTCCCTTCCCCCTTTAACATTTGCAACATAGGCACGATATAATTGGAACCTGGGACCCCCCCCTCTCCCGTTACGTAACTTGTGTACGGCCCCTTAACTCAAATACTATTACCCCTAGGATATATGTATGTACCATTTAGGATTAGTTAAATATATTTTACGTAATTTTATTTCCAGATCAACTAAATTCAATATCTGTTCAGTATATTTCTAGAAGCCTTAATTTTTTTTGAAAATAAAACGTTTGTCTCGGGCACTTCTGATAGTGAAGGCTGCTACAAAATGTAAATTTCGTCAAGATTGCATTTCGCTTTCACGTTTTGTACCTTTGTCGAAACTGTTCCCCTCCACAAGTCGTCAGCTTCGCTTACCGAACCAAATTTTAGGATCAGGTAAGATCAAAGTTATCCAATTTCACTTCATCTACTAGATCAAATTTTAGGTATGCCTTCTAAAACTTTCTTAAAATATATACATATCAAACTTTCAATCCTTCTATAATCTATTAATTATAAATATGCAAATAAGTAATCATATTAATTTTTAATTTAATGATTTGACATACATATATGTATGTAAATATACCTGTGTCCATACGTATGTCGAAACGAATGTGGATACATACATATAAAATTACGATATGATACGTGGTTATTGCAACCAAAAATCGCGTAACTTTCCAAACTAATGCATACATACATTAATCCCTGGATCATCATATACATAAATCTGGGACAGAATCTCTTTGTTAAAGTGGGATACACGTGTATGTAGTTGTTCTTATCACTGTGCGTACATACACACGGATAATAATTTTAGCGTAATATTACCCATAATTATTCACCAATATTACATACATATTCCAAATATTTCCCACTTTGTGCTTCAGTTCGAAAAGACAATCCGGAATTTGCAGGATGTCCTCTAAACAGAAATTTATCCTAATTTCGATTTCCGTCATGGCTGCGTTTTCCTTACTCGGCACCTTCAGGAGGAATGACGAGGCTCAAATCCGAACAGGAAGTTGGCACAATTTACCAGCTTGGATGATGAGACTTGGAAGGTAAGCAATTTATTACAGCTTGGGACATGTATGTGTATATATAGTTGATTTTAATTCAGTGCATACTTTTTATCACAAAATTTAATAACGAAAAAAGGAATAAGGAATAGGAAATATATTTCCTTTGAAAACTTATGAAATTTTGGGGATCCATATATACATACATGTAAACTTTTGAAATTAAGACATTTTGGAGAAATTCATAGCAAAAATTCGATCGAGGGAAAATGGGCAATCAATTATTTCGCATTACAACTCATTTAGGAAATTTGCGAAACTCAAAAAATTTATTTCGTATTTCGCAAAATATCTATAAGCATATATATGACTTGAAAGTACCTTAAATTAAAAATGGATTGTATTCGAATTAAAGCCCGCATATTTTGTTTAGTATGTAAAAATCATGTTAAAATTAATACCCAATTTCATTCATGGATGATGTTTATTTAGCAAAATACAGGTAATTTACGAAATTTGGACAAAAAGCATGCACTTCTAAAGTATTTACGTAAGTTGTCAACTGAACAAGTTTTGAGTCATGCTGTAGAAAAACTGTAAGTATTACGTGAGTTCTTACCAAATTAAAATTCCACAGTATTTATATTTTGTTTACCAGGAATTATCGGTAACTGCATATGTTTGTACACTCTTAAAAATCCAGTGTTAATTGTCACCAAATTATTACCAAATGGTGATAATGTTTTCCTAACGTATATTGATAAATCTTACTCGCTAGGTGACAAATTGTTTCTGGCTGGTATTAATTATATCACAATTAGGTGATAAATATTCTTACTTCACAGTGAAGGCACATATGCTCACTGTTCTGTGCCGATTAACTGGATTTTTAAGAGTGTACATACATATGTAAATATGTAAATACATACATACATACCTAAATTTATAACGCAGTTGTTCAACTGATTGATTGTACTTATTACGTAGTTGACAATTAACACAGGTACAAAACTATTTTTAAGAGTCTATATTTCTATTAAAATTCGTCTAAATTGGTCAATGTACATATACCAAAGTTGTCGTAAATAAATACACTCGAACAGAAAATTAGGCCTACATTATGTATTTAGCTCGGCCTAAAATGGTAAGATTACAAGATTACATGATACCATTTTCTAACAAGACTTAACCAATTTCTTACACAATATGTTCTCTTTGTCCGTTTCCTTACTGACACCAAATCCTAGTAAATTTGTTTTATAAGAACTAAGAAATGACTAATAGGACAAGGTGAAGCTTAGATAATAATTTATATAATAGCTGCAACACAATGACAGCATTGTGTTTTTCACGATTCGGGTACAAATATACATATGTAGGTATTTATTTTATATTGCGGCAAAATTTACCCTTCTCTTAGACTGCGTCATCTTTTCGTTCGAACTATTAGCTTTTTTTATTCATTTCTGATCTAACATAACGCATCAATCACGCGTGATTGATGCGTTACGTGATCCCAATGAACCCGTGTAAAAATATGTATGTATGCAAATAGAACACGATGTTTTTTAGATCCTGCTGCCGAATTAATTAGGCACTAATAACTCCAGAATGTTTCTATTAGAAATAAATCCCACACTGTAATTTTGCGACCCGATAACATACAACTATCCGCCAGAAAATTCGAAATATACTAAATATGTATTTGACCATTTTAGCCAATTTTTGACGATTTTGTACAATTTTGTCACTATATTTTTCCTGGCTTAAATTTTATACCAAGCTTTGCGGAAGTGAGTTAATCCGGGAACAAATTATTTTAATAAAGTTTACTTTAATAAATAATAAAAATATCTAGAAAGACGTAAAACTTACACGCTTTAAATAACTTGGAGGTAAATCATCACCCAAGGTGATTGCAGGCAATAGTGCTCTACATATTTTTTGTACTGATTAAGGAGACGTTCTGTCACATGACATAAGTAATAAAAGAAACTCGAGTACCAATCGGGCATGTTGTTATTTAAAAAAAATTTAAACTTTTACGCAAAACAATCACATAAGAATATTCAATTTGTTTTAAATAACGATGTCATGTTAGTTTCTTACACGAATTTCGGACTTAATTCCAGTCAATTATAAGTCTCCTTAATCATTACCCGAAAATAGAACAGTTTAGTACTTCCGTAGCTTATGATTTGTCTCCGAATTATTTAGAGTGCGTATGCATAATGTATGTATACTATACATACATACATCTGTACACATTTTACAAGTAAATACTTATACGTCTTATGTACATATTAGTCTATATTTTGCACCGTTATAAATCTGGTATAAAAAGTCATGCACTTTTTGATTTGTCGGTATTACACTCTTAGAAAGCGGATAATAAATCATTGCTGACCAAATTGTTATGCTTGGGATCTAAATACGAGCTCCTCATAACAGATCGTAATATTTTAGTAATGAAAAATCTACCACTCAGAAACAGACTACTACCCATCCAGTTGGGAGTTGTTAAAAAATTAATACCACTACGGAGTATACATATGTATAAATGTGTATGTGAGTCTACCCGATTTTTTATAGTTCAATTTAGCTACTGTGTCGTATTAAAATTTTTCTGGTCCGTAAAAATCTTGCTACCGATATGGTGAAACTTAATACAGAGCTAATACTACACGGATTTACTGATCAGTATCACATTGGCAGAGTAATACATGAATACCGCTGGGTATTATTTTTAAGAGTGCTACGAGTTATACAAATATTTCTGTGGACATTGATCCAGTTTATGCGCAGAATCATACTTATTTTTTAATTTTTCGAAAACCACGCTAGATTATCTGGAGTGTAATTCAAATCTTGAAGTACATTTTTAAATACATAAATGTTTATATGTATACATACAAATATTTATGAGATCTGGAAATCTAAACCACGTTTAATACTAATAATTTGAAGTGCTCCAGAAATGCTAATTCAATGCACGATGGAAACAATTTTAATCTTTTATGGTTACTATTTACATATTTGTTAGCATTTTTTACACTTTTGGATATCGAATGAATACCTTGCACACTGATTTTAGTGGCACACCAGCCATCGGCCGTAATTTAATCTCTTATTATGACAAGTATGTACATTAAAAAGGGATAAAATTATTCATAAAAGATTTAGTTTGTACAACAGACTTTTGGCGTTAAAAAAAGATGTTTTTACTAAATACATATTTGAGTCTGAGGGTGTAAAATTTGTACTCATTCTCGCACGAAACGATAATCAAGACGATTTTTGTTTGTTTTTTCAGTCTGTTTTTTTTGTTTCTTTTCTCTCGTTAAAAATCCGTTGACACAGTGTTACCAAGAGGAAGTGACTATTGTGACTCAACCTACACGGTAACAAAATTTGTTACCGACTGTTAGCAAATTTATTGCCAGGCTGGTAATATTTATTACTCCTCTATTGCCGTTACTATTTAGTAGAATGGTAACATATTTGTTATGCCTAGATATGTATGTAAAACGTTTATTACCATGAATTCGACTATGTAGTCCCCGAATGGTAATAAATAAGTTGCTATCGAATTATTTAAAAGGTTCAAGTCTTACACAGCGTTACAGTGTCGGACAGATGTCTACGTCCACATAGTCGCGTCAATTTCATTTTCAAATTGTCACTGAACTACTGAACCAATTTTCATCATTGATATATCAAATTCTCACAAATTTAACGTAATTTCATAAAACATATGAGTTATTTCTGAAAATTCTGGGAAAACTGAGAATCATAGTGCAGAGCGAGAGAGGATGAAATTTGAGCGGACAAAAGTCTACGTCCACTTCACTTTAATTGTCAACAACAAAAATCTCTCCAATTTATAAAATCAGGTAACTTAATAAATCTATCAATAACATATGCCGCATTAATTTTTAAATAATTTTCTTCCAGAAAAATATGATGGCGTCGACACGCAAGGAAATTCCTATCGCTATTCGAGATCTTGTCATTCAGGACTGGAAGGGTGGACAAAAAGGGGGCTGTCGCAGAGACAAATATGGACCAAGTATAAATTAGCAAGGACAACCATCCAGACAATCATTAAGAACTTCAAAGCTAATGGTTCAGTCCAAAACAAGGTCAGAAGTGGTCGAAAACCCATTTTGGCTCACCGAGAAGTACGCCACGTGCTCAACAAAGTCAACGTTACACCCTCACTTAGTGCTCCAAAGCTATCTACCGAGATCAAGGAGATGTTCGGCAAACAGGTTAGTCCTATGACCATCCAAAGAATACTGAATAAGGGAAATTTGAAATCCCACAGAGCAGTCCGGAAGCCTCTTATTGTACCGAGGAATGCAACCAAACGAGTGAAGTTTGCCAGAGACCACATTTCCAAGCCACAAACATTCTGGGACATATTTTATGGACTGACGAGTCAAAGTTCAATGTCTTTGGGTCAGATGGGCGTCGTAGAGTGTGGAGATATCCAAAAGAAGCTTTGAATCCAAAAAATCTCAACCCCACAGTTAAGCACGGCGGCGGGTCGGTAATGGTGTGGGGATGCATGGCTTCAAGTGGGGCAGGAAAAATGGAATTTATTGACGGAATTATGGACCAATACAAGTACCAGGGAATACTTGACCGTAATATCCAGGAATCTGTTCGAAAACTTGGACTTGGATGACGATTTGCCTTCCAACAAGACAACGATCCGAAACACTCTGCCAAGTCCACCATGGAATACTTCAAGAAAAAAAAATTCGAAGCTAGAATGGCCTCCCCAATCTCCAGACTTGAATCCCATTGAGCATCTGTGGGACCACATTGAAAGAGAAATAAGAAAACAATCTTTTTCAGGAATTCCGGGCCTTAAATCCAGAATTCGTGAAGTTTGGGAAACCATTTCTGAAGATGTGACCAAGAATTTGGTAAACTCAATGACTCGACGCCTTGAAGCCGTCCTTAAAGCGAACGGAGGCCCAACCAAATATTAAAAATTAATTGTTATAACATTCCTTATAAATTACAGTTTTTTTTGTATGTTTTCTCTGACTGGACGTTGACTTTTGTCCATCCAATTGTTTTCATTTTGAATTAAAATACATCTCTGGCCTAAAATAAATTTTTTAGCGGAAAACTAATAATGTGCTATGAAATTACGTTAAATTTGTGAGAATTTGATATATCAATGATGAAAATTGGTTCAGTAGTTCAGTGACAATTTGAAAATGAAATTGACGCGACTATGTGGACGTAGACATCTGTCCGACACTGTACATAAACCCTGGACAGACACAAGTATCAGTTCCCTCTTAAAAATAATGTAACCCTTTGAAAAGTATACACAGAAATACACTCTGAATTCAATATTAAGCAAAACGAACTAAATTCAGAGTACTCAACGTTAACTTGATAAAGAATAAAGAGTACATTACTTTTCAAAAAGATAACATTGTTTTTAAGAGTGTAGAATTTCTCAGACTTTGTGAGTCCCCCGAGAACAATGGGATTTTCCAAACCGAGATTGATCCTTTTACCAATTTATGGTTTGGGTGCGTTCCTCATCGTGACTATCTTTTATGGGAAAGACGATCCTAGAATCTGGACGAATACGTGGTATAACGTTTCAAATCCAATACTCAAGAGAGAAAGGTATTTAATTGTTTGAAGCTTTGACACTAAATAACATGCATTTGCATAAATAAATTTAATAAGTAAACCAAAACCAACGTTGTGCATAACAAATCGTTAACTTATAGAGTTACTTTTGTATGATTATGAAATTTTTTTAAATCCGAAAATCCAAAAACGGATCGGATCAGATTTATGGAAACACTGATCCGACTCAACTCTGCTTCATACATACATATTTATCTGGGACAAAGAACTTCACTTATTTTAAATTCTAATATTTCCGTACCTTGTAAAATAACTTTATTGACCTGTTTTTCCATATTTACAGCCAGAATCGCGCATCGCCCATAATTTCGACCAAATGGATAGTCGTAACTTCCATATCACCTCCGACCCAGCAGATCGCCACGTTATCAAAGATCCACGGGTGGCAGCTTCTAGTCGTAGCCGATCAAAAAACCCCGCTCGATTGGAACGCTCCTGGCGCCATCTTGCTCTCTGTCGAAGCCCAGCACAGTCTCGGCTACGGGATAGTCTCACTTCTCCCCTGGAACTCCTACACACGGAAAATGATCGGGTATCTCTACGCCATTCAGCACGGGGCACAATACATTTACGACACCGATGACGACAACGCGCCAAATGAAGGGGTCGAATTCGAAAAGGGATTCGTCTTAACCGACACAATGAAAGGTTTAACACTCATTCCGCCCCAAGACCGGGGTAACTTGATCAATCCGTATGTCCATTTTGGCCAAAAATCCATCTGGCCACGTGGTTTTCCCCTGGACCAAGTTGGGGTCGGATACAATAACACGTACAAATTGTGCGTCGTTCACACCCCGCTTATTCAGCAAGGTCTCGTTAATGGGGATCCGGACGTCGACGCGGTTTACCGCCTTACCCAGAAAAGTGTCTATTCACCCCTAAATGTCAAGTTTGACGGGTTTGCGCCCCCACTAATTTATCCGGAAGGTCTCCTGGCCCCGTTCAACTCGCAGAATACGTTATTCCATTACGCCGCATTCTGGGGGATGCTTCTCCCAACGACGGTAACGTTTCGGGTGACAGATATCTGGAGAGGGTACTGGGCTCAGAGATTGTTGTGGGAGATAGGTGGGACTTTGGCCTTTTTACCGCCCAGGACGACACAGGTAATTAACCTACATATGTACATAAGACTCGGTGATTTATCGTCAAAAGCAGCACATTTCTACTCATTTCTCCGCTCTGGGAATTTATTTAATAATTGTGGACGACAAATTTACAGAGCAAGTTGTTGTCGATGAAGAAAAGTATACGCTCCAGATTTTTACAAGTTTTAAAGCATGAGTTTAAGGAGCGTTCAGAAAAACTGGAACTCATCGAAACCTACCTTAATTTCTGAAAAAAATTCACCACGATTTTATAAGTCAAATTACCCAGTACAAATTTGTTCGTCCAGAATTTTAACACAAATTCCCACAGCGGGAAAATGATTTAAAAGGTGTTGATTATGACGATTTTGCTGATGAATCGTGGAGTCTTATGTTACGATTTTTGCTGTCATATCTTGCTTAACATTTGACCGTTGTCTTCTTATCAGATTCGGAACAACCATACCTATCTAAAAGATTTCGTCGAGGAGGACCAGATGTATAAAGAATCCTCCAACTTCGCCAAACTTCTGACCGAATGGAAATGTCACGAAGATTCCCTCTACTCTTGCATCCTCTCCGTCACGAAGGTCATGGTTGATGCAGGTCTCATATCGGACGCTGACCTGACTTTGACCCACGCCTGGCTCGATGACCTCATTTCTATCGGCTACGACCTTCCCGACCTTGTCCATCGTCCGTCTCCTTGTATCGACCGCTGGACCACGACCCATGCCATCTTCACCGGCCAGACGGAAGACGTTAAACCGGAAATTGACACCATTAAGGAGTCCACGTTAAGAAAATTGTGTAATCTATCAGCTGTTTCTACAGAAAATAGGACAGCTTCCGCCTTTCCGACGACTCTTCTCGTCGTCACGTATAATCATCCCCACTACGACCATATGTGGATCCTGGACGCCATCTATAGGCCGCATTTCGCCAATATTTTGTACTGTGGCGCCCAACCAAATTCGACCAACGCGTCAATTGATAGTATCCTCGCCAGGGAGGAATTCGTACGGTCTGGCGCCACCGGGATTTCCTTTGTTTACGCGAATGTCAACGCGGATCCGGGATCCTACCCGCCGGAACATTCCCCCAACGGGGCGGGAGTTACGAATGGTTTCTTCGTGTATGAATGTGCCATTCGCGCAGTGGAAATGGGGTATCGTGACCTAACGGGGTACATGGTTATTGGGGACGATGTCTTGTTTAACTTTTGGAATAATGGGAAATATGATGCGAATGAGGCGTGGCTGTATCATAAGTATGCAGGATTGCTGGATACGGTTACTCCGGTTGGGTGAGTTATAATTTTTTAGTAGAGTTGGATCGTGTAAAGTTTCCAGAAACTTCATCCGAATCGGATAATCCGATCTGTTTTTTGAATTTTCCAAAATATCTGACCCTATCGGATTTTTATGTTCAAAAATATTTAATCCGATCCGTTTTCCGGATTTTCAAAAACATCTAATCTTATCAGTAAAAAAACTACAGATGCATATGTATCAAAATAAATTTGATATTTTTGTTACTTTTTACACTAAAAATGTCCTCTTTTTCTATCTTTTTTACTAGCTGGTGGTGGTGGCCGTACTCAATTTTCGGGGTGAATGCAACCATCGCAGCGTTCAACGAAATTTATGAGGATCACAATCCCTACGTTGTGGCGTTTAGGGAACAACGAGAATCCTTTGGATACAATAGGACAACAGCGATGTACGGATGGACTGATGCGTACTATTTTCCTGCAGCGAAGAGTGAAATGCTCTACGAGGTGAGTACCCCTTAATAAGTAATCAAGACTTGATTTATTGCCAAAAATCTTATCATCAAAATCAAAACAACTAACAACTTCTCGGCCCTGAAAATCTATTAAAAACTTCTCGATGACAACCTCTATAACATTGAAAATATGTACATATGCGAATGTTTTATCAGATGGACTCACCTGACTTACGAAAAATAAATAAATCAAGTAGGTCATTGTGAAGAAACATGGATTCGATTTCAAACTAAAATTTAAAAAAAATTTGGATTTCGAAATATTAGTTTTGATTGACCGGAAAAGAGTTTAAAATTGGTGTCTTACGCTGAAATTAGCGAATTATGAGAAAAATAGAGGTGATAGAGATAAAATTGGTTCCACATAAATCTGAGTTTGAAATGTGAAAGATCTCCATTGTTAGTAGTCAATTTACTAATTTCTGCCTTTATTAAGGGGTGAAAGCCCTTTATGAGATCGTTATGTCCGTCTGTCCGTCCGTCCGTCCGTCCGTAGCTCCGATACCTTTTGAACGAAAAGACATAGACACTTGAAATTTTGAACGTAAACTCCTAGCGTCAATGGACAGGACGAGTTCGAAGATGGACACTGTGACATCGTCACCTGTGACGATGACGTCGTCACGGTGACGAAAAGTGACGAAAAAGTGTCACGTGTCAGTTTTGGCATGTGACACATCATTTTTAACTAATTTTCAATGAGGAATTCGAAAATTCATGTCATTTTGCGATTGGACGTCACCTGTGACGATGACATCGTCACGGTGACGAAAAGTGACGAAAAAGTGTCACTTGTCAGTTTTGACATGTGACACGTCATTTTTAACTATTTTTCAATGTCAAATTCAATGGTGACCTCCATTTTGACCTCAGAGGTCATGTAAAGGTTATAGGACATATCTATTTCAATTTCAACTGAAATTTAACCCCGAATTCAATGGTGACCTCCATTTTGACCTCAGAGGTCATATAAAGGTCACATAAGGGTTATCAACTGTTAAATTTGACAGAAATAAGACACAAAAGTCGAAAACACGTCAGAAGTGTCAATCTTAACAAATTTTCGAACAATTTGATATTCACATTGACGTATGACACTCCTTTCACCCCTTGGTTACATGCGTTGTAACGGTTTATTTTGTCCCAGGTTGGTGTTATCTTACGCGAAAACATCGTCTTCTTGGAAATCGTGGTCCCTTTCTGGTTGAACGGGTTATCGTCGCCTGAGAAATTTGTCATTCTTCCAGGAGCATATAATGGAGGATACGGTTCCGCCGCGAGGGACCATCCCTTCGATTATTACAAGGTCGAGGAATCATTCATGCATTCCGTCAAACTGAGCGGAGTTATAACTAATGCGACACTAAGGGGATTATATTGCCACAACTTTATTGAGGAGGTTCTCAAGTATTCACCGGTTTATTGACGTCAATTCCGCAACATTCTTACATGAATGTGTATAATTTTATGATGATATATTTAGTTTACTTAATTTTATGTCCGATACAAATGAGGGAATTGATAAGGAATTAAAAATATGTATCTTAACAAGTCAACTAACGGCATATACATATATATATCTTGTTATACAACTTATTGAACTTGACATTCATTTATAAAGAGTTGGGCAGATACATACATACAGATGTACATATAACTGGTATGCGTTGTTATATAAATTGACAAAATTTCCGTGTTAAAATCACAATTAGGGAAGTTACAAATGTCTTCCAAATAATAATGTCTCAACCATAACCGGCAAATCTCGTCAAACAAACAAATAAATAGGATGTGATAAAATGTAAAATATCATGTCTAACAAATGACGTAAACCGGTATTGTTTTAGTTTCTGGTTTCTATTATGCATATCAACAGTATGTATAATTGGTAAACTAATATATTTACCTATCATCATGCAGGCAGATGCATACATATGTATATGGAACAGATTTACATACATGGATAACCTGTCCACGCCTCTCCTTTTGTTCGCCTTTGTCTTCAAGCTCTATGAGACTATGTACTTCATAAATTTGCATGGATACGTCTTTATGTCGACTAAATAAGTAAAGCGACTCATGGACCTTCCAATAAATAAATAGAATCGTCACTTAATTAAGTTTATGCAGAATCAAGTCTTCAACGGACTCTTTAACATACTTTATCGACAAGTTTCGCTGCATAAACTGGTTCTTTTTCTCATTCATCTACTCGTACTGCAAGAATCTCACACATATTTCTTTCATCATAGTTGAAAATGGGTTGCATTTGCTGCTTTTCTGGAGATGTCCTCGTCACCACGAGATTTGGTGGGGTTAAAAGGTTAGACAAATTGAAACGGGGGGAGGAAATTTTAACGATTTCGAAAAAGGGTGGGGTTTCAAAATACACGAAATTTTACGCATGGGGCCATCGCGAAGTGGAAAGAACGACCGAATTCGTCGTGATTAAGACGAACACGGGAAAAATGCTGAAAATTACGGAAGATCATTTACTCTTTGGGGAGGGACGCGTCTCAAAAAGGGCGGGAATGATTAAAGAAGGTAATTTTCCAAATATACAAAAATTCCATTTAAATTTCGAATTCACAGAAAAAGAGTCTAATTTCAAAATTCGTCAGTGAATATTACATGCATACATTTTATTTTTCGCTAAAATTTTCTTATTATTTTTCCCACAGGCGACAAAATTTGCACCATTTCTCCAGACTCAACTTTGGTAGAAGAAATCGTCGTTAAAATTTCCCTGGAAATGCTGACCGGCGTCTACGCTCCATTCACGATGAGCGGCGATTTCATCGCGAACGGAATCTTGGTCAGTTGTTATGCAAACATTGACAAGCACCACGTCGCCCATGCAGTCATGCTGCCGTTGAGGATGTTCCACAAACTGGATAAATCCTGGAAGAAAGAGAAGACTCAAAATCAGGAAGGGATTCACATCTACGCCAGAAATTTGGCCAAAATTAGGGAAGCTTTGCCACTCTGGGTTCAAACAACGATTCAGAAGTGAAATAAAAATTACAAATAAAAATCACAATCAAATACAATCAAAATATGTACAAATTAAAATAATATTTAGTAAAATTATTGTTAATAAATCTAATCAAGTATACATTTATACGTACAAGTTTTCTATAAAACGTGTTGATTTTTATTTACATATTTGACTTACTTAATATCCATATATGTATGCACATTTAAAGTAATAAATGGAACAAATGTCTTACAAGAAGTCACCCTGTTAAAGGTCTTAATACATTTTGAGCATTTTATGTGCGACTTGAATTTTCACGTATCATTACATGTGTATTCCTGGTTTCTTATTTTGTTTACATGTTAATAACCATTAGGTTTTGGCTAAAAAATCAAAGACAATGAAAATACTTTCATTGTCTTGGAAAAATTTCATTTTTAGTTCGAATGTTGAATTAGCTTTACTTTAATATGTAGTTTTACAAGTTTGGTTTCAACCCTCTCCATAATCTAGAAAACCCCACAAAAACTTTGGAAAAGCCCCGGGGTTGGTTTTCGGAAAAAACCCAGGGGTTTTCCCAACACCCTAAATACATATGCATTTACATATTTTTCAAAAGGATATTCTCATTTTTACTAGTGTCTGCATGCACGTATAATTGACTTATGTTTCCATGGTTTTGAAATTCTACATTTTAACAAACTTGTCATGAAAAAAAAGTTTCTCAGAATGCAAAAATCTGTAAAGCAGTACACAAAATCTGAGTTTAAAAATGAACCTTCACACAAGGGTAAATAAATACGCAGTAATTTGACAAGCTTCTCATTACTTATTACCAGTTATTCGAAACGTTCCCTCAAAGGCAAAACTGGTCCAATAAAATTCAACTATTTAGGTATGTAGAGGGATGTATGTATATACATACATATATATAAACTCGCAGTTGCTTAGAATAAGTACACAACTTCTTAATTGCAGTGTAACGTTGGGTAAATACTAAAGCATGACAATTCTACTGGATTGGTACAATCGAGAAGAATAAAGGCAGATGTATACATAGCTTATCGCAAATATTTAGCCCAACTATATATTTACTAATACGCAGATACACATGCATATGCAAATCTAATCCAGAAAATCTGATCAGTCCAGCATATTGAAAAATAGCGTAGCTTGAAATAAATATCATGTCAAAAATCCGGTCTTGTTTAATTGTTTTTGGTATTTTTATGAGTCTTTGTCTTCAACGAAACCGCCCTTTAAATGTATTTATGTACATAATCCAGGTTTGTATTGTATTTGTGTTCCCCTTTGTTAAAAAATTCTAGAAAAAATCATGCCATAAATTTACATATTGAGAATTTTACACGGCACAATTCATAAACTGCGTTATAGGAATCCAATTAAATTATACGTACTTAAATGATCATTATTTACATATGTACATACTTACCTTCTGTCTAAATTATATATGTATACGAACCCCAATTAAATGAACTGTTCTAGACGCGTGCATAAATTGGTTCGTTTCACTAATTTACAACCTCACAGCTATTTCTGCTCGGGAATTGCGACCATCTTCTCGCATAACCCATAAACTTTCGCAATGGCTGGTTGTTGCTGCTTTTCTGGAGATGTCCTTGTGACCACGAAATCCTGCGGGGTTAAGCGGATGGACCAGTTGATTCGAGGTGAAGAAATTTTAACCCTTTCGAAATCGGGTGGGGTTCCGAAGTACACCCAGTTTTACACGTGGATCCATCGAGAAGTGGACAGAGAGACGGAATTCGTCGTGATTAAGACGAGCCCTGGAAAAATTTTGAAAATTACGGGGGATCATTTGCTCTTTGGCGAGGAAAGGGCTGCAAAAAGGGCGGGAATGGTGAAGATAGGTAATTTTCAACTCATTGGCAGGATTTTTGATTTGCAAATTTTTGAACCAATATTGCATAACTTATGTAGATGCCTCTTATTTGACACCATGTATAATTTCTAACTTTTTCTCACAGGCGACAAGATTTGCACTATTTCTTCTGACACCACATTGGCAGAGGAAGTCGTCGTTGACGTGTCGACGGAAATGCTGACCGGGGTCTACGCCCCATTTACGATGAGCGGGGATTTTATCGCGAACGGATTCTTGGTCGCGTGCTATTCGGACATTGACAGTTTCGACGTCGCTCATGCATCCATGCTGCCCTTGAGGATGTTCCACAAACTGGATAAATCCTGGAAGAAGGGGAATAAAAATCAAGAAGGACTTCACATCTACGCCAGAAATTTATGCAAAATTTGGGACCATTTGCCAACCCAAGTTCAAACCGCGATTCAGAAATGAGATAATAATTATAAATTGAAATTACAAACAACTTAAATAAATATATACAAATACAAATTAAAATAATAGTTTGTAGAATTGTTTTTAATAAATGTAATTAAATGAAAATCTACTTTATGACAAAGGTAATCTGTTTAATTATGCATAACTTATGAGTGTGTATAAGCATCTCAAAACAAATAGTGCGCGTCACCCTGGTATTACGTAAATATGTATTACACAGTATTTTACCTCACCGCATTTAGCGACACATTCAAATGCGGCGACATTTTCCTTCAGTGCACACCCTTAAAGTAGGGTAGCCCTTTAGAAAACTAACTGCACTTTGAATTCAAAATTAAGTAATAGTCTTTAGTATAGTAAACTATACTAAATCCAGAGTAAATAAATAATCTTTATAAAGTAAACGTTACGCTAGGTTTCATAGTTTCCTTAATTCAGATCCAGATCCACTTACTACATATATTTAAAAGGATAACAATTCTTTTATGAGTGTGTTCATACGCATAATCTACATACGAATGTTTCTATGTAGGGTTTAGAAATCCCACATTTTCTCAGATCATTAAGTTTTGCCATGATACAGTTTGCTAAGTAGATAGTTTCAGCGGCTCGTCCACCCGGTGGAGGTGGTGCTGCACGTCTAAATGACTTATTCCGTTGGATACCCGTTTTAAAATACTACGAGTTGAGTCCTGAAACGATGCTTTATTTTTTTAATCATCACCTGTGATGTGATCTGGTGCCCTTGTGACTTTTTGACCAACATCGTCTTTTTTTCTTATCAGGTCAAACCCTTGACGTGAAGAACTCACGATTAAAGTTTCAACTCTCTGCATATCTCGTTGCGTTCAAGAGTTATCCGAACAACAGAAAGATAGAAGGACGGACGGACAGAACGATCTTACTTATAAAGAGCTTACACCCTTGTTAATAATCACTCCATAAAAGCGTGTATGTAAATATGTGCCTAACTTGTCTCATATATGTAACTCACTCAACTAGTTCATTGGTCATTTGCAAGTTTTACATATCTATGAAATCTATCTGATCAGCTAAAAATGTTAGAAATTACGACGATTAAAAAAATGTGAAACAGCTCTTCAAATCAATAGGTATGTACCATGCCAAAAATCCAGTCTTGTTTAATTGTATTTGGCATTTTTATGAGCCTTTGTCCTCTCTTTCTATTCCAGGTTTCTTCTCCGCATTAATGAAAAGCCACAGAAAAATCATCCAAAAATTTACATACTGAGATCTTTGCAACGCTCAATTGATAAAGTGGGTATATACCCTATATGTGCATACATATCTACGAATCTCCACAATTAATTAAGTCACTATTTTTCTTGTGTGAATTATATATCCGTAATCAGGCAAAATGTGCAGCATTCTTTTCCGCGTGCAAGCCTTATTTGTCCATAAATTGATTCGTTTTGCTAGGTTAGGACCTCAAAGCTATTTCTGTACTCGAATTTTGAGCAGTTCTAAATCGTATGCCAATATTTATTAGAAATGGCTGCGTGCTGTTGTTTTCCTGGAGATGTTATCGTGACCACGACATCCGCGGGAGTTAAGCGCATGGACAAATTGATTCGAGGTGACGAGATTCTGACCCTTTCGAAAGCGGGTGGGGTTCCGAAGTACACCAAGTTTTGCACGTGGATCCATCGAGAAGTGGACAGAGAGACGGAATTCGTCGTGATTAAGACAAACACGGGAAAAATGCTGAAAATTACGGGGGATCATTTGCTCTTTTGCGGAGGACGGGTAGCAAAGAGGGCGGGAATGGTTAGGGAAGGTAATTTTCAAAATATTCTGATACGATTCGTATATGAAAAATGGTGGGCTATTTAATTTGCGAACTAATAAAATTAACCAGTACTACATGCATCTTATTTGACACCATGTATAATTTCTAACTTTTTCTCACAGGCGACAAAATTTGCACAATTTCTCCTGACGCCACCTTGGTTGAGGAAGTCGTCGTGGACGTGTCGACGGAAACGTTGACCGGTGTCTACGCCCCATTTACGATGAGCGGCGATTTCATCGCGAACGGATTCTTGGTCGCGTGCTACTCCGACATTGACAATTTCGACGTTGCGCATGCATCCATGCTGCCCTTAAGGATCTTCCACAAACTGGACAAATCCTGGAGGAAGGAGAACAAAAATCAAGAGGGGCTTCATATTTACGCCAAAAATTTGTGCAAAATTTGGGATAGTTTGCCACTTCGAGTTAAAACAGCGATTCAAATGTGAAGGAAATAATTATGTACATTTTGAAGTCATAATCAAATTAAGTATATATATGTACAAACATATAAATACAAATGAATATTATACTTTATTTTATATTATTTAAGTTTTTACAACGAATGTAATAAAATATTTACAAACTTTTAAGTTAATTACTTAACTACATATGCCTAAATTACTAGAATATGTCCCTCTGTAAGGTAAAACCGGTCCACTAAGATTCAATTATTCGCACGTGTTCTTAGAATAAGTACCTTTCGTCTTAATTGCAGTTGGTTAAATATTTATTTAGACATGACAATTCTTCTGGATTTATCCAACCGCGTAATACATAGATAAATAACCACTCTATAAAAGCAGGCGCATGTAAATACTTGACTTCTCGAATATATATTTACATACATCAACGAAATAGTTCGTCACATGACGAACTATATATGTACATATGTCTGCAAGTCTTACATATATACCCAGAAAATCTAATCAGACAAGAATGTCAGAAATACCGCAAATAAAAAAAAATTTTACAAAACATCTCTTGGAATGAATAACATGCATATCAAAAATCTGGTCTTATTTATTTAAATGTTTTTGGCATTTTTATGAGCCCTTGTCCTCTCTGACACCGCCCTTTCTACTCCGCATTGAGGAAAAATTCTAGAAAAATCACATGTGTGCATGTACTATAAACTTATATGTATACATATTTATTAGACTCATGGGGCGACAATGACATATACATACATAGATATGTAACTGATGTATGTAACTTCAAATTATGACGTATGACTTATGTTACAGATACATACATAAGTCATAAAATCGCCATCATATGTCGGTGTATGTACACTTATAGTTACATATAAGTCCGTTATACATACATACCTACGTCATAATTTCAAGTTCTTAGCTTTGTGTCCATGGCTATCCGACACATCCATTGAGATTTTTCCATATGTACATTATTACTCGACAAAATTCCCACACAACAATTAATGAACACTATTAATCTGTCTGTGGTATATAGTCCCACATGTGACACTACTCTACAGGCGCAAATTCCGGTCCATAAATTGATTTGCTTCGCTAGTTTACAGCCTCATAACTATTTCTGCTCAGGAATTGTCACCATCTTCTCGCATATTTGCATAAACGTTCGTTATGGCGTGCTGTTGTTTTTCTGGAGATGTCCTCGTCACCACGAAATCTGGGGGAGTTAAGCGGATGGACAAGTTGATTCGGGGTGAAGAGATTTTGACCCTTTCGAAAGCGGGTGGGGTCCCGCAGTACACCAAGTTTTACACGTGGATCCATCGAGAAGTGGATAGAACCACGGAATTCATCATGATTAAGACGGAAGCGGGAAAAATTCTGAAAATTACGGGGGATCATTTGCTCTTTGGAGAGGGACGGGTCGCCAAAAGGGCGGGAATGGTTAAGACCGGTAATTTTCAATTCATCGGCGGGATTTTTGATTTGCAAATTTTTGAAATAATATTGCATAACTTATCTACTTGCCTCCATAATATCTATTTTTGCGACAGGCGACAAGATTTGCACCATTTCACCTGACGCTACGTTAATTGAGGAGGACGTGGTTGACGTGTCGACCGAAACGCTGACCGGCGTCTACGCCCCATTCACGATGAGCGGGGATTTCATCGCGAACGGATTCTTGGTCGCGTGCTATTCCGACATTGACAACTTCGACGTGGCTCATGCATCCATGCTCCCCTTAAGGATGTTCCACAAACTGGACAAATCCTGGAAGAAGGAGAACAAAAAGCAAGAAGGGCTTCACATCTACGCCAGAAATTTGATCAAAGTTTGGGACCATTTGCCACTCCGAGTTCAAACAGCGATTCAAAATTGAAAATTGAAAATTTAAATCACAAAAAAATTAAACAAATGTGTACAAATACAACTTAAAATACTATTTAGTATAATTGTTTTTTATTGTAATCAAATAAAATGTTCAATTTGAAACGAAAGTAGCTTACTTAATTGTACATATGTAAATTAGGAGTAAAAATATCTCAAAACAAATTGATGTGCGTCACCCTAGTATTAAATGTGTAACAATTTGACATGACCGCTTTTAGCGACACCCTATACTACGGCGTCCCTGTGCAGATATGTTCATACATTTTTCCTTCAGTGCACACTCTTAAAAATAATGTTGCCCTAACGCACTTTGAATTGAATATTAAGTAAACTGTTCTAAATCCAGAGTAAACATTACTCCTTATCAAGTTAACGCTGCGCTGGATTTACTTAGGATTAGTATGCATACATACATAGTAGTTTACTCAATTTAGAATTTAGAGTGCATTTATTTGTATACTCTTAGCAACTTGGTAAAGAATCCCTAATAAACGTCTTTACCGAGCTCTTGGTAATTACGCGTTCTACAAAAAGTATACGGGGTTATTACCGTATCAATACCAAACCAGTAACTAGCCTTCCACCGCAATGTTTTAAGTTATCTGTGTGATTTTGGTAATAAATTCCTACGAGCCGGTAATTATATCCTACAAATTTAGGTAACACTCTTTACCATAATTTTAATAGAGTGCTATACAAATTGTTTCCGTTGTGGTGCTAATGAGATCTACATTTTGGTGTAGTTTATTACCATGGGGGTAAGAATTTTAATACATTTGGTGTGAAATGTGAGACGCTAAACAGTGCGCATTTGTCAGTTTTAGTTTCCGCTCAGCTCAACTCAAGTCAACACGGCGAAATTAATCCAATTCTGCTTGTGGGAAATAACATAAAAATTTCTCTGAAACTTCTCTGAAATGTAATAAAATTCTATATAATTATATAGAATTTTTGGAAACAGGTAAGTATCAAATTATTATATGTAGGCGCCTTATTAAGATGGTGATCGAGCACCATCTTAATAGGAACAAGTAAATAATAAAAATTATAATCTTGTGTGTTTAGTTTTTCAGTGAAACATAAATTTAAGGTAAGTGTACGGCTAAGACTATAAAATATTCAGTTCGATTTCAATTTCATGTTAATATCTATGTATACATGTGTATGTATGTAACTGAATAGTTTGCTTAATACTTAAATTTTATAATTATGTAAGTATGTCTCATTGCTTTACAATAAATGTAATTGATTGAAAGATCATTGTAAAGAAAAACAAAAAATCTATTCTTTTCGGTGGAAATCTGCACAACATTTGGTAATAATGGGGTACATGTAATACAAAGCATTAATACCGGTATGAATAGCACGCCGTGCACAAAGTGGTATGGTTTATTACCAGGGGGTAGACATTTTACTACATATTGTAGTACATCTGTCATACATCATGGTATTAATTTTATCCCGAAAAGTGGTCTTTATTACCACTTCGGGTTCAATCAATTTCTTTACCAGCTGGTGGTTATTATTACCGTTTCTGCAGAGTCATATACGTGTGCATTTTGGTAATGATTTGGTAATGATTTTATTTAGAGTGTATGTATGTACCTTAAAACGGGTAACATTATTTTTTAGAGTGCGTTCATAACATCATCTGTATATGTTTCGAAATCCCATATTTTAACAGATTATTAAATCTTGTCATGGATACCGTTTATACACAATTTTTCAGAATGAAACAACCTGTTAGAAAAAAATAAGTCTTTAGACAAAGCTAATTATGTAAATGCGCCGCAGTCTCGCAACTTTCTCATTACCAGTTATTTAAATCTGAGCATACTCGAAACTGTCCCTGTAAGGCAAAACCGGTCCAATAAAATTCAATTATAGTCACGTTTTCTTAGAATAAGTACTACATCTGTGGACATATATCGTCTTAATTGGTTAGTGGGGTAAATAAACGTGGCAATTCTTCTGGATTTATCCAACCCTATGATAATCATCCCATGCATGAGACGTTTTAGGTACCCAACTTGTCGCACATGGATACTTATTTATGTACCCCAACTAGTAAATATATTTACATATGTAGATTCGCTTTGTGCAAATCTTATCCAGAAAATCTGATCAGACAAGAATGTTAAAAAATAAATAAAAAATATAAGACATCTCTTGAAATAAATATCATGTCAAAAATCCGGTCTTATTTAATTGTTTTGGTATTTTTATGTATGCCCCTTTGTCCTCACAGACACCGCCCTTTTCACAAAAATATTCCAGGTTTCTACTCAGTATTGTTAAACTTGACGAGTTCTAGAAAAATCACATACCATAAATTTACATATTGAGATCTTTACAGGGCACAAAACCCCTCACATTTTATAAATACATGACCCTATAGCAATCCCACACAATTAATGAAGATTATTTATCTCGTCTGAATTAATGTTCCACACGTGCAAGTCCAAGTCCATAAATTGGTCCGTTTCGCTGTTTTACGATCTCACACCTATTTTCATACTCGAATTGTCACCATCTTATCTTCTCGCATACGTAAAAATTAACAATGGGCTGCTGTTGTTTTGCTGGAGATGTCCTCGTTAACACGAAATCCGGTGGGGTAAAGCGGATGGACCAGTTAATTCGGGGTGAAGAAATTCTGACCCTTTCGAAAGCGGGTGGTGCCCCAAAGTACACCCAGTTTTACACGTGGATCCATCGAGAAGTGGACAGAGAGACGGAATTCGTCGTGATTAAGACAAACACGGGAAAAATGCTGAAAATTACGGGGGATCATTTGCTCTTTGGGGAGGGACGCGTGGCCATGAGGGCGGGAATGGTGAAAAACGGTAAGTTCCAAAACATACTGTGACACAATTTGTATACATAAAAAATTTGCGCGGTGTATGATTCGCAAATTAATGAGTTGAAATTGCAAAATATTTGTCTCTAATTTCTGTTTTTTTTCTTTGCCATAGGCGACAAAATTTGCACTATTTCTCGTGATGGAACCTTGGTTGAAGAAATCGTCATTGACGTTTCCATGGAAATGCTGACCGGCGTCTACGCCCCATTTACGATGAGCGGGGATTTCATCGCGAACGGATTCTTGGTCGCGTGCTACTCCGACATTGACAATTTCGACGTTGCGCATGCATCCATGCTGCCCTTGAGGATGTTCCACAAACTGGATAAATCCTGGAAGAAGGGGAATAAAAATCAAGAGGGGCTTCACATCTATGCCAGAAATTTGATGAAAATTTGGGAAAATTTGCCATCCCGAGTTCAAACGGCGATTCAAAAGTGAATCGCTGCTCGCTGAGTTCTACGTTCGCATGGAAGCCGATAAACTCCATAAACGAAAACATATTTACTTATTAGCTTTATGAAAATTTGTATGCAATGAAATTTTTATTTGTAATGAACACATTATGTAAGCCACAATTTCTGCTAAGCATAGTTTTATGTAATGTATTGGGAATGAGGTTAAATATTCCATAATTTTAGCTTCAATCTTTATTAAAATAAGGTTTTTTAAGAAAATAAAGATGCAAAAATATTTTTCAGTTGCAATGTATACATTTTTGTTCTATATATTTTATTTCAATTCATTGAGGGTATTCATGGTTCCTAAGTATTCTTCGTATCGTACGAGGTTTTGTAAGACTTTGTCAGTAAAGGCCGCGTTATTAAGGGTACGATTTTTACAAAGATTTGCTTTCCCCTTAGTTTTTTTCTTCGTAAACTACATATTTTAAAATACAACGACAATTTTGAATACTATCACAGATAGTTTTAAATAATTGACATTACTGAATGGTAATTCCCGTTAATACCAGTGCCGGTAGTCAAATTTGTACTCCGGTCGGTAATGATTAAATATCAGTTTTATAAGAGTGTATGAAGGCGTTATTCCTGCTTAATGATAAAATTTAACCTCCGAAATTTAATAAACCGGCATCATTTTTGAAAATCCCTAGTTTTTAAAATACTCTCAAGTCCGTTCCGTTCAGTTTAATAGCCTTGATTTTCGAATCGCTCATTTCGACACGAGTTTTTTATTTTGACACGAGTTTTTTATTTTGACACGCTTCTGATAGAAACTTAGGATTTATATATGTGTCCATAATTTAATGAGCTTTCAGTAAAAAATGAATCGACCAGTACACATGGAAACTTAATCAATTAAACAGGAATCTTTAAAGCTACGCATTTCGATACCTGACCTTATAAACAAACAAGGAAAACTGGTCCCATTAAATTTTATTACCTTCGCATCATCTTATTCGAACATATATTTCACGACGTAATTACAAAGGCACATAATTATCACGCAATAAAAGAAGAATCATTGAAGGTGTAAATTGTCATATGCAAATTTTATCTTGCAAATCTAGAATCGCAAAAATATACCAAAATATGGTGCAAAATACTTCAAACTGTCGTGCCCAATTAATAAATATGTACCAAAAACCGGTCGTGTTTTAATTATTTCTGGTATTTTAATGGCAAACCTGATACATATTTCCTTTTCTATTGTTCGTTTCTGTCTCCAAGCTTCTTAAATAGATAAGTTCTTCTCCATTGTTTTTCGTGTGCCGAAAACGGCTGGAAAACCCATAAAATATGTAAATAAATTTGCATGTGCAAATTTTTACAAACATTTGAATAAGTATGTAAGGTAGCAAAATGTTATCAAATTAATGATCCTTAATGATCATTATCTTGTCTGGATTTTATTTATTTATGTACTTTGTGGGGTGCCCAGACTGCTCATTAATATGTAGTTTATTTATATGTAGCCCCAATTAAGCCAGCTATTAAGCATATTTTACATGTTCAGGTTGTTATTTCGCACATTCAATTCATTACTTAGTAAAACCTTCGAGTGGGCACGTCGAAAAAAAACGTCGAGAATTAGGAGCAAAATGACCACTAATCCTAAGTCGTAGTGAATCTGTATCGAATTCTCTGCGACTCGCTCGAAACTTATTGCGAATTCTCAACGATTTTTTTCGACGTGCCCGGTCACCAGTGGGCTTCTAACGTGTATGCACATGCATATTTTTAGTCCCTCTAATTGTAATACTTTCATGACGAAATTATCAAAATTAGAGGAACACTTAGAAATAATTTTGTCATGTGAGGAAAAAAATTGCACAATCCCTGCCCAGCATAATTTAAAAAAAGGAATTCGTTGTCGACGTATCGTGAGAAACTATCTTAGAATGGAAACCCCATATCGCCGAAAATGGGGATAACGAGATTTATGCAAATTAGGGCAGTAATAATTGCATCATATTTTTCACTGCAAAGTTCAAGTTCTTTATGAATCTTGTTATAGATGTCGAAATTTTTTATAACAAAATTACACCCGCACTCTTAGAAAACTGGTATTAAATCATTACTGACCGGAGTAAATATGTATGTACATATTTAGAGATACATTTTACTCTACCGGCAATAGTAACAACAGGTATTACCGCGTTCAGTAATGTTGTAGTAAAGGCAAATTTATAACTCAGCAACAAGCTGCTACCAATCGGGTAGGAAGTTATTAGAAATTATCTGTAATACCAGTACGGAGTATGCACATATGCGACTCTATCACATTTTTGAATAGTGGTTAAATTGAGGTTAAATTAAAGTACTTACATTCAGCATTATACACAAACCTGATTTTCAGGTCCTATATACCATACATGGCACGGATTCTCCTTGAATTTTGAACAAAACCTTGTGGTCCTTTCAAAAATATGTAGATAAACACTCAGGAAAAAAACTAATCTACAGATACATAAATAAGTTTAATTTATTAATTAGGCAGTAGATAATTTTAGCATCTACGCATTTCTACTTAATACTTAGATATTTTCCAAACCTCACAAATATGTACATACATACATATATGTAAATGTTGCCAATTTGTATATATGTATATCTGTATGTACATTTGCGAAACTGGTTCAATAAAATTTTATGACTTTTCGATTCTTCTTTAGACATATGTAGATTTATTGTCGTAATTGTGTAAATATTTATTTATTCATCTGGTTTAAACCAACCCAATAACCACTTCATAAAAGTTGACTTATCGAACTTGTGTAAATATTGATGACATAATCTGTACATTGGCAAAAGCAAATTTTGCGCTTAATTTATGTATGTATAGATATCTTGCAAATCGAGTATCGCGAAATGACTTATATCAAAATACTTAACCTGTCGAATTCAATAAACTAGTAGCATCGCATTTTTATCAGAAACCGGTCATGTTTTAATTATTTCTGGTATTTTAATGTCCTCACGTGGCGAACCTGACATGACACCGCCTATTCTTTTATTCGTCTTTGTTCTCCATGGGGCGAAAACGTCTGGAAAAATCGTTAAATTTACATGTGCAAATTTTTAAGTACTACGCACAAATGCTAACAGTTGATCAAATACGAATATATGTATTTAAGGTAGAGAAATGTCATCCAATTAAAGATCATAATCTGGATTGTATTGTATAACCCCAATCAAGCTAACTGTCCAGCTGGTCCAGACCCAGGTCCATAAATTGATTCATCTCGCTACTTTACGATCTCAAAGCTATTTCGGTACTCGAACTGTAATCATCTTCTCGCATATTTACAAATTTACATATCTGCGTATTTACATACGATGTCTTGCTGCTGTTTTCCGGGCGATGTCCTCGTGACCATGAAATCCGGGGGAGTAAAGAGGATGGACAAGCTGATTCGGGGTGAGGAGATTTTGACCTTATCGAAAGCGGGTGGGGTTCCGAAGTACACCCAGTTTTACACGTGGATTCATCGAGAAGTTGACAGAGAGACGGAATTCGTCGTGATTACGACGAGCACGGGAAAAATGCTGAAAATTACGGGGGATCATTTGCTCTTTGGGGAGGGACGCGTCGCAAAAAGGGCGGGAATGGTTAAGGAAGGTAATTTTCAAAATATACCGTAACACAATTCATACAAAAAAGTTGCCGGGCTATTTAATTGGCCAATCTTACATGCAATTTTTCGCAATAATTTCTTTTTGTTTCCCACAGGTGACAAACTTTGCATGATTTCTGGAAAACGTCTGGTGGAAGAAGTCGTCGTGGACGTTTCCATGGAAATCCAGATCGGCGTCTACGCCCCATTCACGATGAGCGGGGATTTCATCGCGAACGGATTCTTGGTCGCGTGCTACTCCGACATTGACAATTTCGACGTTGCTCATGCATCCATGCTGCCCTTAAGGATGTTCCACAAACTGGACAAATCCTGGAAGAAGGGGAACAAAAATCAGGAAGGACTTCACATCTACGCCAGAAATTTGATGAAAATTTGGGAAAATTTGCCACCTCGAGTTCAAACTGCGATTCAAAATTGAACTAGATACAAATGAAAGTCGATCAATCGAAAACAGAAATACTTGATAATACAAAAGGCATACTTGCCTACATACGTACATACAAATACGAAAACAAACATTATGTGTATAAATACTTTTTCAATGAATAAATAAAATCAGGAATTGAACTTTGAATCTAAAAAATTTTACTTTTGAAACTAAATTTACATATATATGTATCTACTTTATGTAATAAATTGCATACTTTTTTATGTATTTTTAAGTTGTCTGGGCAAACTTGAAATTTTAAATTATGTTTCTTAGGTGTTTAAGTCGATTTCATGTCTTTATCCAAACATTTTTTGTATAAATGGATACTATGTATCTTTTGCATATTTACATAGTGCACGGAACCGATGCATATTTACTTACGCAGGAATCAAGAAGTATTACATGCATGATATGCATACCGTATACAAGCCCATGTAAATAATCGACAGAACAATCAATCAAAATAACAAGCAACAATTAAACAAATATTCAGAACATAAAGCACATAAATTTGGGATTCAGATTCAATTTTTTAAATTTCGTGGTTCATGATACTTAATACTCGATTTAGGCTGGGATTTAGTGTTTTACTGGGATTTCGATTGGGATTTTCTGGGTCCGCATAGCAACTGGAAATTCTACGAAATGAATATTATTCATTTCGTAGAATTTCAATAATTTGTTCCAATTTTTTCAAGAATAATTTTTGAATATTTACATATGCACATATATTCCTATAATATAGGAATATATGTGCATATGTAAGTATGCAGATAAGTGTGAATGATAAACTTGAGATAAAATTTATCTTGCTTATATATTTAGTGAAAGAAACATGATCAATTCCTTCGTGTCTACAAGATGGTTGACTTTTTCATCTCCTCAAAGTTTATAAACATGCTTTACATATTCGATGTCATGCTAAAATAATAAAAGTTCCGACAGCTCAAAAGTAAGAGTTGTTTAAGGAGATGTCCAAATTATGCAGAGTTTATGTTCATACAAACTAAACAACTATTACTCCAGAAATTTCAATTTTAAATTAAACTCATTTCCTCTTCCAGAACTAAATAAATACATAAATATATTGGCATATGTAGCAAATTTCAAACAAAAGGTAATTTCGTGTTACAGGCAAATGGATGATCAGCCAACTATTATGTAATAAACTTCGTTTTAAAAAATTCATAAATTTTCGTTTAGAAGTTATCCCATTTACAAATTTTACAAGGAATGTGTCTACTTTATTTTATGGCCACCATTAACTTGATGTATTATTAAAAAACTAGTCTTGTTTTTGTTCCTGGTATTAACATTTGCTGTCAAGTATCAGTATGCGGATATTTATTTGCATACAAATTTTCATGTAAGTAAAACCTGTCAACGCCTCTGCTTTTATTGGCCTTTGTCTTCAAGTATCTTTTGTTGTTGTGGCTAAACCGTTTACAAATATGTAGGAAATATATTGCATACAAACTACATAGTATATATTACATAGTATATATTACGTATGTAGTAGATACATATTACATCCTGGTTACGTACATATGCATATTTGCATACATATGTATGGAGATATTTATGTATAGCGCATAACCCCTTGCATTATGTAAATAGATACATACATTAGCCATGTATGTATGTACATATTTACATACACAGGGTATAGGATTGTCATCGATCTAATGTATAAAGACCCCCAGCGATAAGTAAATACATACACAATTACCGTATTTTTTACGTAATTGATTATCTAACCTTATGCTAACTCTTTTATTTTAATTATGCAACCCCTCCAAATTAAGTTAACGATTTAGCATATTTATTTACGGCATGCCCGTCTCGTTCCATAAATTGGTTAGTTTACCCGATTCACTTGCTCAGAATAATTTACGCTCGCAGATTGTGTCAATCTCGTAAATACCAAAAATGATTTGTTTTTTAATGTGCTGCTTTCCTGGCGATACCCGCGTCACGACGAGATTCGGCGGAGTTAAGAGGTTGGACCAGTTGAAACGGGGGGATGAAATTTTGACCGTTTCGAAGAGAGGTGGGGTTCCGAAGTATACGAAATTTTACACGTGGGGCCATCGCGAAGTGGACAGAACGACGGAATTTATCATGATTAAGACGATCACAGGAAAAATGCTGAAAATTACTGGAGATCATTTGCTCTTTGTGGAGGGAAGGGTCGCCATGAAGGCAGAAACGGTTAAGAAAGGTAATAAAATTTCAGGAAAATTGTGACCTAGTGAATTTTTGGGAAATTTGTTTTCAATCAAAATTACCAACACAATGAAGTAATTCAAGTGGTCCTTGTGAACTCGTAAAATCTTTTTACAAAATTAAGAGACGCCATAGATCTGAGATAAGTTTACAAAAATTTATGGGCAAATTTTCATTCGAAATATGAGTATTTTTTTCAAAAGTCAACGAGTTTACCAAATTACAGATTTTACGGACGTTCAATGCTACCAAGGGTTGAGTGAATATTTTCATGTTATTTAGTCTTAGAATTTTTTTTTTGAAACAGGTGACAAAATTTGCACGATTTCTCCTGACACAACTCTGGTTGAAGAACTCGTCGTGGACATTTCCACGGAAACGTTGACCGGAATCTACGCCCCATTCACGATGAGCGGTGATTTCATCGCGAACGGATTCTTGGTCGGATGCTATGCAAACATTGACAATTTCCAGGTCGCCCATGCAAGCGTGCTTCCATTAAGAATGTTCCATAAAGTAGACAAATCGTGGAAAAAGCACGGTACAAATAAGGAGGAGCAACAAGGACTGCATAACTATGTCAAAAATGTTTTTAAAATTTGGGATAATTTGCCATCCCGTGTTCAAGTAGCGATTCAGAAGTGAGGAAATAAAAATATGTTTTGATAATAAGCAAAGTAAAGAATAAAATTTTGTAAGAAAAACTCGGCTTAAAATGGCTAAATTCTATACTGCGAACTTCGCACAACAAATATTAACACATTTATTTCAATTTATACGATGGAACAATTCTTATGCAGTTTCTTTCTTAACAGAATTTTGGACGTATGTATGTACATATCATCTTAAAAGCCCGATTTTAATCGTCTCCGAAAGGTGTTCATACATACATATGTGACTTCAAGGCGCGGCGATAAGTTTCCTCACTTCACTTGTGATAAAATTAGCACCAGCCAGGGACAATTTGTTAGAATGCATGCAGGCAAGATTTATCACCTTGCGGTTGAAAATCATTGTCACCGTTTGTTGAGAAACATTATCACAGCACGATGAACTCACATACATACATATGCACACCGTCCGGTGACGATTAACACCGGGTTTTCAAGAGTGTAGATATAATTTCATATGAGTTGTTTAAAGGAATGTAATTTACTCTAATAAATTAGTTGATGAACAAACAATATTTTTGCTAGTATTTATTAAGTAGCGTCAGTTACTTATTGTGATCGTTTTGTCCGTCTGTCCGTCCGTCCGTAAGCAGGATATCTCCAGAACGAGTCAACGTAATCAACCCCAGTTTTCGCCATTGTGCTTCTAATTTTTAGTTCTCGGTCGAGTTCGAAAATGGGGTCAATCGGACCACACCTCACAGGGCCAGGGGGAGTGGTCCAAATTAAGTTTAACTTTAATTTTCATATGCGGTATCATTTTAAAGGAAATTTCGCGACGAATTCAACGACATCAATATTTTTAACCTTATGACCTTGACGACGAGGTCAGAGGTCAGGAAACACATAATTTTCATATGGGGTGTCATTTTAAAGGAAATTCGACTGCGATTTCAAGGACATTAAAGTCTCATGACCGTTAGGACGAGGTCATATAGGGAGAAACGTTAAAGGAAACTTGGATCGCTCTGACGCAACTTATTTACATTCGTTTGGAGGGTTTATTTTATCAACCAAGTACTGTGATAGAATTAGTGCTAACTAATGTTTTTTAAGTACTTATGTCCGCACTGATCCTAAATATAGTATGGCAAAAAACATATCTCATCTTTGTTCCTGGTCTTGACTTGCAGTGGCAGAGGAAGCGTAGGGACAAAGGGACATACATAGTCCCCATGGTTATTCGATGTCTGCCCATGTTATATTATATAAATCCCTCCCTCCCCGATCCTATAATGTTAATGTTCCCAGATGTTCCCAAGGCTTCCGCGGCCACTGTTGACTTGATATTAAGAATTGTCGATTATATATTTACATACATAGGAAAACGTATATGCATATATGTAGGTTTGTAGGTATGTATATTTTTATTTGTCTTTGTCTACAAGTTTCTTGCTGTCCTTTGTTAATGAGTCTAAATGGTGTAGGAAATATGTAGGAAATATATATATATATATGTATTAAATATGCTCATTTGCATACGTACATATGTACATAGTTAGTCCCGTATAACACATATAACCCCTTGCATTATGCAAGTTATTTATGAATACATACATGCATACACATACATATATATTTATACAACATCATCGCCGTTACTACGTACACCCACCTTCGACGGGTTAATAAATACATAAGTACAAATATATGTATGTACATGCACGCTTACTTATTACCTTAGCTCAGTTATGCAACCCTTATTATACAATTTAGTACATAAATTCATCTACCACGTGCAAGTCTCGTTCCATAAATTTGTTAGTTTATCCATTTCATTATCTCAGAGTGGTTTGACCTCGAAAATTGTAGTAATCCGACAAATATCAAGAAATCTTTGAAATGGTGTTTTTTGTATTTTGCTGTTTTCCTGGCGAGGTTCTCGTTACGACGAGATTCGGCGGAGTTAAGAGGTTGGACCAGTTGAAACGGGGGGACGAGATTTTGACCCTTTCAAAACGAGGTGGGGTTCCGAAATATACGAAATTTTACACGTGGGGCCACCGCGAAGTGGACAGAACGACGGAGTTTATCGTGATTAAGACGATCACAGGAAAAATTCTGAAAATTACGGGGGATCATTTGCTCTTTGGGGAGGGATGCATCACAATGAAAGCGAAAATGATTAAGAAAGGTAATAAAATTTCAGACAAAAAAGTAACGGTTAAAGTTTTAGGAAATTTATTCTGTACCAAAATTATCAACATGATTAGCAAATTGACGCAGTCATTGGTAACCTCGTAAAACCCATGCGTTTTCTAGCATAATTTTATAAACTCTTACAAAATAGAGTGACCCCCTTGATCTGACAATGAGTAAGGTTGCAAAAATTTGTGTGCCGATTTTCCTTCGAAATAGTAGTAAAATTTTGTAAAAGTTGATAAGTTTACGGAATTTGTAAATTTACCAAGAACTGAAGGATATGGTTGGATATTTTTTATCAAATTTTGTGATAATGGTTTTTTATACATTTTTGCCATAGGCGACAAAATTTGCACGATATCTCCTGACGCTACCTTGCTTGAAGAACTCATCGTCGACATTTCGACGGAAACGCTGACCGGGATCTACGCCCCGTTTACGATGAGCAGCGATTTCATCGCGAACGGATTTTTGGTCGGATGCTATTCGAACATTGACAATTTCCAAGTCGCCCATGCAAGCGTACTTCCGTTAAGAATGCTTCACAAAGTAGACAAATCTTGGAAAAAGCAGCAGGGCACAAACTTTTCAGAGGAACAAGAAGGACTTCACAACTATGTCAAAAACGTGTTCAAAATTTGGGAAAATTTACCACACCGAGTTCAAACCGTGATTGAGAAGTGAAAAAATATCTAGGAAAAAATGATTCTTGTTTTTGTAATTAGTTAAATAAAGAACAATTTTTTAAAGAAAAAAGAAGTTTTAAAATGTCTTAATCACGCTGCGAATTTAGCACAACACAAATACATATGTACGCATTCTAAGTTAAACAACCTTATTTTATTTCTGTTTACTTCTAATAAAATTGTTCATAGTCAATTTGAATCATATTAAATTTTTTGTAAGTTGTAAGGACAAACGGTTGGGGATTCTCACATGCAGGATTCTCATTTGTCAGTATGTAAATGTATGTAAATAGTATAAGGCATACTCGAATTCAAAATTTTCCTTGCAACCAAAATTTCCCGCAAAAACGTGGTGCATAACTTACATAATTAATCCGAATCATCAACCAAAAATTTTCAGAATTTTTTAAATGAATAACATTTTAGTTTAGCTTTATGTATGTATAAGTAGAAAAATAAATATTTAGTTCACCCGTCCGCCTCGGTTTTGTCCACTGGAGAAAAAAGTGAGGAAAAATTTAACTCAAAAAATGATAATATTTTTCTTCACAGGGGCCATTATACGGAAAGATTGGTATATAAGTCCCACGTGATTCCTAATTTTTGGCTTGATTTTTGTCATAACGCGATCCACAATCCAAGTATATGTGGCTTGAAAAACGGTTCCATTTTAGTTATTTTATGACCACGATTATTTAATAGCATGAAAAAAAAACTTGTCTTGTCTTTGTTCCTGGTCCTGACATTGTTCAATTATCATGATGCAAATATTTATGTAAATGAATACATATGTATGTATGTATCTGCAATGATATGTAAACTATGTTTGCTTTTATTGGTCTTTGTCTGAAAGTTTCTTACTGTCCTTTGTTAAATAATGAGGGTAAACCGTGAAGGAAATATGTATTATTTCATTTGCATATGTAAATATGTAGCTAGTTACGTATAACGCATAACCCTTTGAATTATGTAAGCAACATATTTATGTACATATAACCGTATAACATTGTCATCTATTTAACTACACCCATCGATGGATAAGTAAATATATACATACATCGTGCATGCATTATGTACATATGAATGTTTATCCAAGCTCAATTATCCAACCCTTATGAAACTGTTTAGCATAATTATTTCCCATGTACAAATCTCGTTCCATAAATTGATTACGTTATGCAATTAATTTGCTCAGAGTAATTTGATCCAGCACATTGTATCAATGTCGCAAAAATTAACAAAATCTTCGAAATGGTCTGTTTGATATTTTGTTGTTTTCCTGGCGAGGTTCTTGTCACCACGAAATTTGGAGGAGTTAAGAGGTTGGACCAGTTAAAACGAGGTGACGAGATTTTGACCCTTCCGAAAAGAGGTGGGGTTCCGAAGTATACCCAATTTTACACGTGGGGCCACCGAGAAGTGGACAGAACGACGGAATTCGTCGTGATTAGGACGAACACGGGAAAAATGCTGAAAATTACTGGAGATCATTTGCTCTTTGTGGAGGGAAGGGTCGCCATGAAGGCGGAAATGGTTAAGAAAGGTAATATAATTTCAGGAAAATTGTGACCTGATGAATTTTCGGGAAATTCATTTTCTGTCAAAATTCTCAACACAGTGAAGCCATTCATGCACGTAGACCTTTTAGCAATTCAAATAGAATTTTACACAAGAAAGTACATACATACATATGTATATTATCCAGTAAAATTTTGGTTAAGAAAAAACCAGGATAAACTATCGGGAAATTTGTTGTCTATCAAAATTCTCGGAACAATGAGACAAGAAATTCACAGAGTCATAGCTAACTTGCTAATTTTTTTCAGAAATCTGCGTAAAAATTTAACATTACAGAATTTTCGTATTTTAAAACGTGCTACCAAAGACTCCTTGAATTTCTTCATTATTTTTATACATAAATAGTCTTACATATTTTTGTAACAATAATGTTTCATAATTTTTACAATAGGCGACAAAATTTGCACAATTTCTCCTGACGCAACCTTGGTTGAAGAACTCGTCGTGGACATTTCGACGGAAACGCTGACCGGAATCTACGCCCCATTCACGATGAGCGGTGATTTCATCGCGAACGGATTCTTGGTCGGGTGCTATTCGAACATTGACAATTTCCAGGTAGCCCATGCAAGCGTACTTCCTTTACGGATTTTCCATAAAGTAGACAAATCTTGGAAAAAGCAGCAGCATGCAAATTATTCAGAGGAACAAGACGGACTTCATAATTATGTCAAAAATGTATTCCAAATTTGGGAAAATTTGCCAACCCGAGTTCAAGCAGCTATTCAGAAATGAGAAGATAAGAAAAACTCGGTTTTAAATGGCATAATCTCGCTTAACCACCTCTATTATATATTTGGTACCTGTTTTTCAAACTGAACGCTAAAAAGTAGATAATAAGTTATAATTCCATCAAATTTTAAAGCATGCAATGCAAATTTCTCGAAAATTGAATTGTTTAATAAACATGTAATAAAATTATTTGTAGATTTTTATGATATATCATATCATAACCACGTGTAGAAAATTGGTGCAAAATTTATTTCTATGTAATAAGTAGATTTCTATGTAAAAAATGCGCCGTATAACCTGCAATCCCATACAACACATACATAAGGGATGTGTAGTATGTATAAAATTCTGCGAGGTGTAAACTCATTTCTTGTGGGCCACCACCACCTGCCCAGGGTTCTCATCCACCTGTTGTTTAATTTTATGAACAAAGTCACCACGTGTTTTTCCATTAATTTTTTATTAATTGCTATGAACCCATGGTTATCATCATCATTTTATATAAACCCTTCCTTCCCCTATCATACAATGTTAAGGCCACAGATATCCCCACGGCGACGGAAAATAAAAACGTCTTTCTAATAAATGAATGAATGATGTTTTACTTTTCCACTTTTTGTTCTTTTCTTTAATCATTACTTCAAAAAACTGTAATTTAGTTTAAATCTCAGTAAATTAGCTCAATTAACCCCGACATTTCGCTGTCTTTTCCATTTCACGCAAATAACACACCTTGTTTTTTTACATTACTTCGTATCGCAGCAACCCTGTCCAGCCTTCAACGTTTTCCATCTACATCTGGATGGAAGAAAGATCGCAATTTACAATTTATTCGGTCAACGTTTCACTACCAAACTAATTATTAGGTCGACGTCGTCGATAAATAAAGTGTTTTTCACCATCTTGGATATTAACTCGTATAAATGAACCAACTCTAATGACGATTTAGTCAATTTCGAAGTGATCTCAAACAAAGTAACATCAAATTTCAAATTATGAGTGGAAGAGGTAGAGCTGGTTACAGAGGAGGGGGAGGAGGAGGTGAGTAAATTTTTAGTTTTCAAAATTATGGACTCTTTTCACATTCTTTTTAATTGTGTAATGGTTTTTGTTGGACATTTTTGGTGTCAATGAATTAATTCTTTACTTAATTGTAATAACGCAATTAATTATAACTGAGTTTATTTTAAGGTGGTGATCGCGGTGGTGGCGGCGGAGGAAGGGGGGCTGGTCGCGGAGCGCCGGGTGGCGGCGGTGGTAAGTCTTCTGCTCTTACGCAATTAATTAAGTACAAACTTCCCAAAATATAGACTTTTTTATCGTATGTTTCATCATAACGATTGATTATAATTTTAATTATCACTAATTACGTTGTCTCCTTAGGTTTCACCCCTCGCGAATCTCGCCCCGGCGACTGGAAATGTGGCGAGTGTGGAAAAGATGGAAATTTCGCCAACAATCCGAATTGTTATCGATGCCAGGCTCCCAAACCTGGTGGAGGCGGTGGTAAGTTTCCATTCATCATAATTAATTATTATTAGCAATTTATATACTTTAATTAATAACATTTCCTAATTTCTTAGGCGGAGGAGGTAGTGCTCGTGGTGGTGGCGCTCCGTCCGGTGGTGGTCGCGGTGGATATGTGTATGTTAATTATATAGCTTATCTATCTCATTGATATATTTGTGTTTCATTTCCCACTTTTAAAATCGCAGTGATCGCGGTGGTGGCCGTGGTGGAGGCGGAGATCGTGGCGGATTCAGCGGTGGTCGCGGAGGCGGTGGAGATCGAGGTGGATTTCGCGGTGGTCGCGGAGGTGGCGGCGGCCGTGTTACCCATGGACCCCCAACATTCACTAAATCTCCCCTTCCAACCTACGCATTTAAAGACCTGCCTCGCATCGACGCCGCTTTCGGGGGCCCTGGTTGGGCGCCCTACCCCTTCACGGATAAAGAAGACGTCGTCCTGCAAACCTACCGCGGTCCGGAGCCCTCTCTCGCGTCCGAAATAATTCCCGTCTCCGTAAACCACTTCCCCCTCAAGGGTTTCAAACTCCCCAAGAAAATTTACCACTACGAAGTCGCCATGGAACGTGTCCGACGTGACGCGGGTGGAGGTGACGACAATAAAGGTCCCCCAAAACAACAAGCTCCCCCAGCCAGAGGGGGTGGTCGTGGCGGAAAACGTGGTGGAGGTGGACGAGGTGCTCCCCCACCGCCGAGGGACGACCCACCTGCGCCCGGTGGCGCAGGCGCAGCTTTGCCTCCACGTCGTCTCCCTAAACCTATTCCCCAACTGATCCTCACCGTCCTACTCGAACGCATCAGAGAAGAGACGCATCACTACGGAATCGTGTCCGATCTCTCGAACAATATCTATTCGACCGAACCCCTGGAAAAGTTAGGCGTCCCGTGGGTGCACCCCATCTCGATGAGGGATGTGGATCAAACCATTCTGCAAGAAGAGGACGATGGCGAAGTCACCGTAACAATTAGCCCGACTGGGCAGCAGATTGATACTTATGCGATGCAAGCGCAGTATAATCAGATCGGGACATGGAAGGGATTTGACATGGATCCTTCCGTCAAGACGACTCTGGAACAGGTCAGTGGCGAAACTATATTTTGTAGCAAATTGCAAAAAAGTAGCTTAAAAAGTGGGTTAAAAATTATTCCACACTTTGGTTGGATTTTACTAATGTTCTTATTGTTCTTTCATTTTAAACTACCCAATTCAAAAATATTGACAATAATACAGGGCGAAACTTTCGAAAAAAAGTATACGGATTCTACGCTGTTAAATTACCAGAATTTGTTTAACTGATATGCTATTTGAAACAGGTTTACAACGCCATCGTGAAAAGTCTACCAACCTACAGGTTCCTTCCCTTGGGGCGGTCGAATTTGGCCCGCTGGCCGGACGGACCTCAAGGCACGAGCGAGCTGGGAGGTGGGGTCGTTTGTTGGAGAGGAATCAGTGCCAATATTGGGATGGGGTGGCATCCGTATCTTTGTGGTGGGTGTCGTATATACATATATTTTGCATATTTACTTTCGCACAAATTAAGCTAATTATTATTTTTTGCGAATTACAGCCGATCTCGCTCACTGCGCTTTTCTGACTGATACACGCGTCATGGATGCACTATATGAGAAGTTTGGGGATCCAAATCGTTGGCAAGGGTGGCAATTCCAGGAGGCGAAATCATTTTTGAGAAGTAAGTTACATAAATTTCTGAAATCTGTCTCTAAAAATTGTCTCCGTCTAAATGTGAGCTTTGATTTGATTTTTAGATGTCAAGGTGAAGTACACCGTGAAGGGGAGGACCCTTGCCGGCCCGGTGACTGACCTACTGCCAAAATCCGTGTCGGAAGAGACCTTCCGCTGGGAGGAGAGAAATCGTGACATCACGGTTTATGACTACTTTACCTCCCACCATGGCATTTCTCTCGACAAACATGGGCTCTGTTTAGAGTTGCGGAAACGATGCAAAGTTCCTGCAGAGGTAATTTGATTAACTAATTTGCATACATAGTTAATTAAACTATTTAATTACTCTGCTAATTGTTCATTCTTCTGTAGTTGTGCGTCATCAAAAAGGGACAGTCCTTCAGCCGCAAGTTGGACGAGTTGCAGACGAGGAGCATGCTCACCGTGGCGAAAAAGGACCCGGACGTGTTGAAGGCTGAAATTGAGCGAGAGGTGGGTACATAAATATGCAAATAAATTAATATGCAAATATTAATTGTGCAAATTATTTGTCTATCATAGATGAGAGACATGCCGTCCCAAAATAATAATGTGATGCAAGCCTGGGGCGTCAATATTGGCACAGAAATGCTACGTTTGGACAAGACGAGAGTCTTGGGGGCGCCACAATTACGATATGGAGCAGGGACCGGGGTACGAAGTTGCAAATTCGCAAATTTGATTTGACCAAATTAATAAAATTATTTTTGCAAAGTTTTAACCCAATTTTACACACTTTTAGTCCAATACTGGCAGCGGGGACGCTATCATTACCCCCAAAAAGGGACAATGGGACCCTTGGAATTCGGATTTTGCATTCCTCGACCCTAAAAGTGTGAAGACCTGGGCAATTGTCAAGGTCGGCGGTGAAGGCGACAGATTCGCACCGGACGATCACGCAATCATGTAAATTTCATTAAAAAATTGTGCTACTCTTGTTTTTTTTTACCATACGATCCTCGACGTCATCACTCTCATTACTAATAGCATTGCAGTGGTGACGTCGAGGGTCGTATGGTAAATAAACCGACTGTGCAAAAATATTCGCAAATTTATAATTTCTTCAATACATCCATTACAGGGAATTTGCTAAAAAACTGCAAAATCACGGTATCCGTAAAGGCATCAACTTCCAATCTAGACCGATCCGGGATAACGTCGACGTGGCGCATCTTCGCCCGAATGGAAATAACAATGTTCACGAGCTCATCGGCCTGTTTGACTTCTTGGCCAAGAAAAATTGCGACCTTGTCGTCTGCATCATTCCAAAGAAGAATTCGCCCCTGTACTCGCACATTAAGCAGGCGGCCGAGCTCCACGCGGGGGTGGGGCTCCTGACGCAGTGTGTCGTTGGTCAAAACGTGACGAAAGGTCAGGACGCCACGGTGCAGAATATCCTCCTCAAAATCAACAGCAAACTGGGAGGAATCAATTATGCCATGCTGACCCCACCTGATACCAAAGTTTTGAGTCAGATTGACATCATGCGGTGTCCCATGTTGATTATTGGGGCGGATGTGACCCATCCGCCGCCAGGGTCGATGAAAAAGGTGAATTTTTGGATGAAATTTTATTTGATTTTGAAATTTTCCAGTACAAATTTAAACTGTTTCGCGTTCCTTTTTATTTTGATTTCATTTATAAGATTTTTACAGATCTGCTGTATACAAATTGCAGTATTTTGTAGAAATTAAAATTTTAATTGTTTAATTTTGCTATTTTGACTTTCGAACATATTGTTCGGAAATTTCAAGGTTTTGTGTAATTTTTTTCTGGAACTGTAAAATATTTTTGCACAGATTTAAATTGTTCTTTTTGAAATTTTAATTTCCTTTATAACAGATTTTATCCGTTGCGTACAACTTGCAATATTTTTGTAGAAATTTGAACTCTATTTTTATGTGGATTATGTGTTACTTTTAATTTTTCGTTTTTCATCCAAAACTTAAGTGAATTTTACTCCATTTAAAAAATTTTAAACTATTTTATCCGTTAAGATTTATTCTCAGGTCAAGTTTTTTATAATTATATTCCTTTTCAGATTCAAGTCGCCAAGGGTAAAACGGAGGACGTCGCCATTCCCAGCTTCGCCGCTGTCACAGGATCCATTGACAAGACAGGGATGCCATTTATGATGGATATCCGCGCTCAGCGCAAAGCTGACCGCGGCGCGGCGGAAGTTATCCAAGACTTGGACACCATCGTGTTGAACATGCTAAAAATGTTTGAAAACAAGACGAGAGGAATTCGCCCTAGGAAAATTATCTACTTCCGGGATGGCGTTGGAGAAGGACAGTTTCCAGAAGTAATTAAACTATTAACTTACCCATTAATTAATTAATATACATAATTAATTTTAATTCTTAATTAATTACGTCCAGGTTTTACATACCGAAATGCTTGCCATGAGGAAGGCCTGTGACCAACTGCGAGATTACGATGAGGGTCCCTACCAACCAAAAATTACTTTCGTCACGGTCCAAAAGGTAGCAAAATTTACATAATGTCATGGAAAGCAACTTCTAATGTTCAATTTCTAATGAGGCAAATCACGCAGGCTTTGGTAACATTGTCAAATTCAGGAAAGTTGCAATATTTGGCAAAATTTTATAAATATTTCGAAGGAAAATTAGCTTACTAATTTTTGTAAACTTGCTCGGATCTCTTTATTTTGTAAAAGTCTGCCAAATTATTTTACAAAACTCACGGATCTTACAACAAGTTACCAATTTCTGCATGAATTACCTCAATATCTTCCAATACAAAGTTTTCGGAAATGGTGCAAATTAAATATGTGACGATAACACATTTCGTGTCATCTTTTTTTTCAGCGACACAAGACTCGCTTCTTCTACCATTCGCCGCAAGGTGTAACTAATCCACCCCCTGGAACTGTGGTCGATAAGGAAATCGTCCACCAAACGGAGACTGACTTTTACCTGTGTTCTCACGCTGGGATGATGGTGAGTATAATTTCGCGATACTTACATATTTTTGCAAATTATTCATTTGTACTGTGCAAATTATAATTTATCCAATTGTAATTAACATTACTTAGAATTTTTATGAGGGATTTGAAAATTTTAGTAATTTGGTTCGTTGGATGATTTTCTTTTGTGTTATTTTTTTGCGCACGTTTTGCCAATTGTTTGTAATTTTTTAATGTTAATCAGTATTTCCATGTTACGTATTACATATTTTCGCATTATTCCTACAAGTTTTTTCAATTGTTTTTGCAGGGCACCAGCCGACCCACGCGGTACCACGTGCTGTGGGACGACTCAAACTTCACTGCAGACCAGATCCAAACCCTCACTTATTACCTTTGCTACATGTATGTCCGGTGCAATAAGAGCGTCCGTATTCCTGCCCCGACTTATTATGGTGAACATAAAAATATAAATTAGCATATTAACAATTATGCAATTTTAATTATCTTATTAATTTCCATCCTTATTTGTTTAGCTCATTGGGCCGCTGCTCGTGCCAAAGCTCTCACCGACGGGATGGAGCAATACTTTGGAAATTTGCACGAGCTGAATGAACGTATGCGTCGTCATGAAACCCTTCTGCAGAATAATCCCATGCACTTCGTCTAGCCCGAGGACGGAACTCTACGTCAATTCGTTATAATAAACACCTCGTCTCTTATTCCTATTCCTCTCTCTAAATTTATACAAGTATTACTTAACTATAACGAAATTTCTGTGCGGGTGATTTAATTGACATGAGTAAATTAAACGAAGTCACTACTCTTAAATTTAAACTGCTCTCAGCTGTTGCTCTAAAATATATACATGTGTAATTACTAAATTACAACAGTAATATTACAAATATATTTAATACAAATACAAAGTATATAATATATGAGAATGATAGAAATGTGTGTGCACAATATTCATATCTTTACATACATATATACATATATTAAATGATATAATATATCATATTATGAAATTTATAAGAGAAAGAACATTAAATAAATGTCATTCATGCTCTGTACGTTAATACCAATGTAAATGTTCACTTATTGTACTTTTTTTTACCAAATGGGATTTTCACAAACTTTGATTTCCATTCACCTTCAATGAAATTGACAATTGTGTTTAAATCAATATTTACATACATACACACGTGTTGATTTAATTTGGTTAGAAAAGTGGACAATTAAGGTTTGGAAGACATGATTCCACACTCAATTCGAGCAGTTGGATAAGCGCCATACATAAAACATGTGATCGATTTTCGACGAATTTTGACCCCTACCTGCCTGGTATGACCAATATGCTCCATGTTACAATTAACATGGGAAAGATAGGATGCCTTGACCCCTTCCCCTGCTCAAATCGGTCACATGCATTCTGCAAAGTCCCATAGTAAATGGAATCGTATTATAAAAGTAGCGTGGAAAAGCCTTTATTAAATTGAGTCGCGTGTGACTTTACACTTAAATATATACAACGTAAATACATATGTATGCATGTATGTACAAAGATAAATTGTCAACTAAATTGCTATACATATTTCGTCAATTTATGTATATAATTGGTCACATTTTTTTAAAGCATTTGCGAGAAACAATAATGCACTTTCTTAGCGCCATTTCAACTTTAATGTCGCTAATTTGATGTTATGAAATTACATATATTTGTATCGTCAAAACTGCACGCATATGTACATATAAATTTATTTTAACCGAATAGAAATTTATTGGAGGTGGTCCAAAATAAGTATTCCCAGATTTCATAGTGACGCTTAATTGTGTTCCTCGAAATTTTATCTCTGATCAATCAATCCCATGGCCATGAAAGCACAAAATATCAGTATTTATGGATCTACCTAAGTATGTAGCAAACAACACGATAAATAAATTCTGATAGGGCAAATGCGTCAATAGATTATGTACATATGTACTTATTTTGACATTCATGAATAAAACCATTGCCCACGCCACGCCATTGATCACTTGATGTGGTTTAAAAGTCACCAAACCTCGGAAAAATACGATTTAAACAACTAGATACATATATGTGATGTTAAAATTCAGTACGGAAAATATATATACTAATGAACATTTTTATGTACTAGATTAAGATAGGTGTACATCTATCTTAACTTCGACGATAAGTACGGAATATACTAAAATTGAAAAACTGATTACGCTTACAAGCTTTTGGGTAATCAGATTACCTAAAAAAATCAAACTTGGGTTTTGCATGCAAAAATATGTACATATGTATGTATGTAAGTCACAAATTCGATATTTTTGCATCTCCACAAATTGCACAAGTTTACATCTACATACATACATATCTGTACAAATGCAGGCGAGTGAATGAAAGTTTTGCGATACCTGAGGATTATATGCATATTATTTAACGTCTCATGTAAAACACGCAGATTTCTTGCTTTGCCAATATGCTCAAAAATCACTTTCATACCTTAAAACCAGGTCACACATGTACATATCCGAGCTCTGTACTAGATATATATTACATCAATAACTTGAGGCCTATCCCGAGAAATCCGATGGTTTTCTCCAACTGCAATAATTACTTTCTTATGTGCAGGAAGTCGGTTCGATTGGATTCCTTTCTTACATATATGAGTTTATAACTTGTTGTTCTCCTCGCCGCCCATCGGTATTAAATTAAATGCTTGGAAGGTCAAGCCAAGTCAAGAAATGACTTCCAATCCCTCACTTATTACTTTACCACGTGCAACATAATAATCTTGATTTGCCACACAATTAACAATTTCCAATCAATTAATGCCTCGGCCGTGATGAGTCCATCAATTACACGGGCAGCAATGTATGTACGTACAAAGTTTAAGTCTGCTGGAATGTATGTATTTATTTACATATGTAAGTATGCACACATGGACTTGAACAGATTTTCAGGTAAAATACATACATGCACACAATATATTGAGTTGAGGGTATTCACAATTGTCTTGGTATCCTTAGTGACGAAAAATATCTGCAGTTTTTTACAAATAAAAAATACGGGGACAAGCTTCGTAACTTGATTTTTAACGACGAAATCTTACCACGCTTTATTATAAAATCGCATAACTTGAAGAATACAAAAGAATCATGAATACCCACATTACTAACAAATTCACTTTTTGCACTTATACCGATCTGTATTCATAACGAACCAAATAAAGCAAATTTGTCCACCATTTAATCACAATAAGTTCTCATACATAGATCTTAAATTTGTGTAGAAGAAACCACTTCTATCCGAACCTTATGTATGCACGTCCCTTCACGCTTTCATCAGAAAACTTAGCTCCATTCATGAAATTAAAGATCTCTCGGTCAGATTTAGGGCAAAAGAGGTAAATTAACTTGCACCTACTTATGTATTTACACAATTTTGTACGAAATTCACTTCTCCTTATTCATACCCGAGTTACGATGCGATTTACTAACGTATTTAGGTATGTCGCAAGGGAGAACTATCGATCAAACGGGTATACGTACCTAAAATGCAATAATAGGTCCAATTCGCACCGGTATAGGGATGGTTATCTTCCGTAATAATTATAATACACGTGGTGACACTGTGGGCGTGGAATGGTAACCTGATGCAGTAAAGTGGCTGAGATTGGGACATTATAAGCTACCTCGGGCAGACAGACAGACCATTCTCATATAGAGGACATGCATACCTACATACTTATTCAAATCGGAATAACTAGTGTGCAACTTTCCGACACGAATATATTTAAGTGCCAAGTTCTCCGATAAGGTCACTTTCACTTTGAGTGCCAAACAGTGCCAAAGGTTTGCCAAAATCAGAGTGGTATATATTTCATACTTTTAAAATTTGCAAACAAATTGAAATACTTCCTTAGCAAATTCTTAAGTAGTGTAAAAATTGTTGTAATACATATGTAGATTTCTCATCTTCGACCAAATAATACCCAAAATTCGCGAAAAAAATTATCATCACCATGGCAACGCTTTCCGACATCTTGCTCCCAATAGTTCGCCGATATATTTCCAATTCGCAAAAATTCGCATGTCTCCCCTTCGCCTGGGATAAATTACACAACAAAGTCGTCCGAGTTGAGAAAAAGACGCAAATTCTCGTAAAATGTGGCATCCTTCTCCATCTGTTTTACGTAATTTGGCAAATCCTCTTCCTCTCGAATGTTCCCATCTCCATGATACAGAAACTCGAAGGGGTCGTCATCCTCTTCGTGTTCATTGCCATGTTGGCCTTCAGGCTGGATTGGTGGGCTGACTTTGGGCCGATGATTCTCATCAATACGATCATCGCAGATGGGGGAAAAGGTCACGAAACTGCCAAGTTTCTCCAGCCTTCGCAAGGTATGTGTGCCATGTTAATGGTCTCAAATTGCCTCATTTCTGTTAGAACTTTTCACTAATAACGTCATATTTTGAGTAGAAAATTTTGGTTTTACATTTCCATGAGAAATGATCTGGTTAAATTTTTCCATTGTAGTGAACAATTTGAAATGAAGGTCCCGATATGATCTCCGATTTTGACTAAATCAAATTAGTATCAATTGTCAATCTGTCACAAATTTAATGGGATTGAAATTTTCATACGATACGATATGTCAATGCGCACGTTTGGTGAACATATTAGCATCCAAAGAGGAGAAACGCATCTTAACATTGAAAAATTTAATGCACGTTTTCTCCTCTTCCGCTGCAATTATCTTCACCAAATGTGGCCATCTGCATATCGTGTCATTTGCAAATGCAATATTAAACAATTAAGTTTGTAATCGAGTGACATTACGTAATCTGGTCAAAATCTGAGAGCATACGCTGGGAGAAATCCATTGTTAGTGCTTCCGTTGTGCATTAGTAACTTGAAAAGGCGAGAAAATCATCTGAAATAAGAAAAATCCTAAAAGTCCACTTTACGAATTTGTACTTTTCCCACCAACCTATCAATCTGTCTAACTTTTCCCCTCAAACCTTCCCCCAGGTACGCAACCCCCCATCAACAAACTCGTCCTGACCTGCATCCGCCTCTTCTGCCTGCTTAGTGAACTGGTCACCTACACGTTTCCCATCCTCATCGCCGTCACGGGTCTCATCTTCCCCTGCAAACCACCCCTCCTCTCCTCTCTCGTTTACACCGCTATATCTCAAAACTGTCGCCCCTGGCGGTACGACGTGATATGTTTCGACCTCAAAAAAATCGCCATCGCCCTCGTCGAATTTTTCATCTCGAAACAGGGCACGGTCACCGGAATGCATTACGCGGTCCACTCCCTCGTCAATGGAATCATCTATCTCACCATCAAGATTAACCTGTTAAAGACCCGAGGAGCAGATGCAGTCCGTGCCTTCAGGGAGGTTCAGGTGTGTAACATTTTAATGAATTTTGTTCTTAATTTGTTAATGATTTCGAATTTTTGCACATTCAAAAAATTTGTTTTTAGATTTTTTAGATTTTTTTTAAACCACGCATCTTATGTGCTCACCTAAGTTAAAATTTTTTAACCAATATTTAAACACTTCCGTGATACGTGAATTTTCTAAAAAGTTTGGAATCTTACAAAAATCCAGCAGGACATTTATGTATTAAATTATGGATTTCATTTAACTAGTGACGCAATTCACAGAATATGAATAATACTTTCTCCTCAGTAACTTTGTAAAATCTGTGAATTGAATTCACAGAATTTTGTAAAGGAGGAGGCACCCTCCTTACGTGAATGTATTGGTCCCTAAGCCCTAAGTGACCTGGTTCGACCGGAAATACAGGTCAAAGGTCAGTGAACTTTTTCGCTCGAAACCCCACAAACCGTACATTTTTGGAAAGCTACGGACCTCATTAGTCCGAATATACACCATACTTGGGTCAAAGGTCAAGCCTTGACCTTTCGAGGTCAATTCTTGACCTGTCGAGGTGAACCCTTGGCCTGTGGAGGTCAAACATGTCGTTGAGGCAAGGTAAGATTTTTCGGGAAAAGTGGCCAAAGTACATATATTTCTGATAGGAGGACTGCACCCTTGCTGGAA